TATATATATATACCACCTAGTGCTAAGAGGAAAAGAGCTTTGGTGTCCTAGTTGTTAAGAAACTGCCCTATAATCCTGAAGGCATGTAGTTCAAATTCATCAGCTGCTCCACTGGAGAAAAATGGGCAATCTCCTCCCTCTGTGTGTGATTAAGTGCTTCTGAAAATTCTCTGGAGGGTCAGCTATGGGTCAGTTCCAACTTGAAAGCACACCAAAATAACAACAACAACAAGAAGAAGCACTTCTAGGTAAGAAGTACCCAGTTCAGGAAACAAGTGATTATGCTGACATGTAGCAAGTGCTGGGCTGGTGCCCGTCTATGAATTGTGAGGCTGTGCATGGGAGTGTTACTCACCCTCAGGGCATTTAGGACTATGTAAATCTTATATATAAAAGACACCATCCTGTATTTTATTTGGCAACATAACTCTGTGGCCCTCAGGCCTGGTTTAAATTGTTTTCTGTCAAACATTCTTCTACATGGTACAGCACTGGTCTGTCCATTTGCTGTGCAGAGGTAACTCGTGGTTGCTGTGATGCTGAACACTGGGACATTGATGTGTTGAATGCGATAATGGTTACCCATGGTGGACAGTGTTTGGTGGAGTTTCCAGATTAAAACAAGCTTGAAAGCAGGAGTGGCATCCACTTCTGAAATAGCTTGCCTCTGAAAAATCTACAAGCCGTGCTCAGGTCTTTATGAGTAGTCTATGACCAAATGGCACTTAACAGCAAGAACTGCTTTGGAATGCTGCTGTTGGGTGCTGTTGAGTTGAGTACGACAAGGGGGATGTAAATGCCAAGGAGGCGTGGTCATCTTGCACTATCTTTCTATCCTGTATCCTAAAGCTCTCTGTGGTCCTGCTGATCAGCCAGGTGAACATTTTCAGGACCCATCCTATTCCTTGTCTCTGTTGAGTTTGCTCAGTTTTGGAGGTGGGGTCCAGGCTACCTGGAGGGCCTCTGTATGTTGTGGAAAGGGGCTCCTGTGTACAGAAAGTCATGGATCAGTATCCCTGGCTTCTTCCCAAGAGATCCCAACAGCACATTCCCACAATCATGACAATTACAACTCTCCAGACGTTGCCCAGGAGCTTCTGGATTGCGGAACTGTCACCAGCTAAGAATTCGTTCGGAAGCAGGAGTGACATCCATTTCCTAAACAACGTGCCTCTGGAAATTCTACGAACTTTGATAAATAATTTCTACCAACTTCAATCGTTCTAGAAGGGCTTCAGGCCTTTTGTTCATAGGGTCACTGTGAGTCATGCTTGACTTGAAAGCAATCAACAATAACATACACGGAACCCGTTATCCTGTCTCAGGAGATTTCACAGGTCAGACTCAATGATTTTGAGTGAAAATTTGTCTATATTCATGAAAAGAATGCTATGCCAGCTACCTGAAATAACAAGAACTTACTCATAGTGATTTGAGGAAGGCTGGCTTCCTCCTAGGTCAGGGGCTGACCTTCTGGGGAGGGAAACATAGTATAACAAGGATGAGAAATGGTCACTCTGAGTTCAAGTTTCACATGGCTGCTTACCATTGACATAGAGGCTGTCCCTGTCCAGGGTGTAGGGCCCCAGATGGCTGATGCCTTGGGTCAGCTGACTCAGTTCCCAGTACAGTTGCTCTCTGTCCAGGGTGCGGCTCACAGGCTCAGGGTAGTAGGTGCAAATGGCATCCACTCTGGTTGTGGCTGCGCTGTCCTTCTCAGGCCTGGGGAGGAAGGGCCGTGGGAACTCCAGGGGAAAGTCCTGCGAGCTCCAGGAGGAAGGGGTGGTGGGGTGGTGGGTAGAATCAGGAGGAGGAGGGAGCACGTGAGAGGAGTGGGAGAAGTGAGAAAGAGGAAGTCACAAAAGAGTGTGGTCCCCACAGGTAGATGACTAGGAGGAGGACTCACCTGAGGGAGATCAGTCTACAACCCGAGTAGAAGGGGCCCAGGCTGCTCTTCTGGAACAAGGGCCTGAGCTGAGGGGGGAGAAGGGGAGAGTGAACAGGAGACACTGTGGTCTGGGGAGGGGCTGTTGTTCTTAGCTGCTGTGGAGTTGGGCCCTGACACATGGCAGCCTCATGTCCAAAAGATGAAAATGCTGAGATCTATAGGGTTCACCTGCTTTTCAGCAACACGCTTCCAAACCTTTCTTCCCAAACTTGTCTTAATCTGGAAGCTCCGCTGAAACCCTCAGCAGCAGAGCAATGTGCAAGCCTCAGGCAGTGGTGGCCATGTGTGAGGTGCCTTGGCTGGGAATTGAACCCAGGGCTCTCGCATGGAGGGTGAGAACCCCACCACTGGACCACCCCTGCTCATTGGGAAGGCAGGGGCAGAGTCTACTCCATTAGGACGTGCTGTCGTCTATGTCTCACCAGATGCTGTAGGACCCTCTCAGTGGAGTTGAATATGGCAGAGCTAGGGTTGCCCATGTCTGGTGAATATCGGAGGTTGGAGATGGTGAAGTTGAGTGTGAAGGTCTTCAGAGTGTGCTCTGTAGCTAGAGGAAGAGAGAGATGTGTATCCTGAGAAGTGGCCTGGGATCAGATCAGAGCCCACACTCTCTAATGCCTTTTCTCCCAGTAACACCCTCACCTCCACCCCCAAGTCACACTCAGAACTCCCAGGTCTTCCCTTGGCATCACTTCCAAGTAATAATTCTACCTTATAAATGCTTCTGATGTACATCCCCTCTCTCCACCCCTGCACCACTTCAGGCCTTTCCTTCTCTTGCCTGCACTGGTACCCACCCTCAGACTCACGAGGCTTCCTGTCTGAAGAGACATTGACCGCTAGAAGCTTCTTTCTGAGAGTCTCACTAAGGACAGCACAAGTTCACCCACTGTATCACCCATTGCTGTCTATGACCTTCAGCGCTCAGTTTAAGCTTCTTGACACAGACTTCAAGGTCCTTCTCAATGTGGACCCTGCCAACTCTCAGTCTCCAATGCAAATCAAATTCCTCTTATTGTTCTTTATATAATGTGTTGTTCAGGACATTGATCATACATTTCCCTGACAGCACCATCCTAGTTGCCTGGATCACGTCAATCTAGAATTATAGACCCAATTCAGGTGAAACTTTGTCGACAGTTCCCTCTGAAAAGATGCCATATGTCTCTTCCCCAAAATACCTATATTATTTTTATAATGACCTATTTTTCTTACACGAATGCTCCTTGCAAGTGACCATCATATTGAATGGCTCGTCTAATCTCTGTGGTCAGAATTATTACTACAACCTTGGGCTTGTCACATTCTGGCTCTCCGTCCCTCCTTTTGTTACCTGATAGAGTTATGTAACTGAGAAGCTCCCCTCAGAATGCAAGGTGGAGGGGGGGGACCCTGGATACCTGTGGTGGCTTCTGGAACAGGTGCTGATGATGGAGGAAGGACGGTGGTGGCCAGTTCAGGAGCTGTGAAAAGGACCATTGTCAGTGAGGGACAGAGCCCCACCCTTACAGAGTGCAGGGCCTCACCCTTGCTTCTGTGGGAATCCAGAACAGATCAGTCATTCACAGGGATGCCAGGGCCTGAGTAGGCATGTACAGGAACTAACTGAAGAGAGGAAGGACAGGTAAACCAGGGAGAGTCTGAACCAAGAGACAGGTGGGTAGAAAAATTGACAGAAAGGTGAGCTAGATTATGGACTCAAGGGAAAATAGACAAATGGGGGAGGGATGAAGAATAAAAACAAGGAAGAAATATTGGAGGAAATGAAGACTAGAAGGATGGATAGGTGGAAGGGTGTGAGCTGGTCGTATGGGTGGCTGAAAGAAAATGACTGAGGTGCTGGTTGAATGAATGGGTACATCTGGCCAGAGTCACTTGAGCAGTTTCCAGAATCTTCCAACTGACATTGCAGCCCCTACCTGGGCTCCTGCCAGCAGGAAGCATGGACTGAAAGGTCATCCACCGGTGATGATCCTTGGGGTAAATGCTTGTCCAAACATCTTGGTCTCACTCAATGATCATGGAAAGTTCTCTATACCAATACCATGCTTGTAAGTCCAGAAATGATCAAGGACCCAGCTTTCTTTGTCCCGCTGAGGCCTTGACCCCACTCAGAAGAACTTCCTGAGTTTGGGGCTGCTGTGACAGTCAGCTGCAGGAACTGTGCCTCTTATCCAAGCTGCCTAAACAGTATCCTTATGCCTAGAACATTGCTCGCTCTCCATTCTAGTTTCTTCTTGTTTTTTAAATTTACCTTTATTAATTTTTGTGTGTATAACCGTCAAATCGGATCTGACAGGTACAGAAGGAGATTGTCCCACCTTCTCCAGCAGAGCATCTGGTGGATTCGAACCATGCACCTCCAGGATTGCAGTGCAGCTTCTTGCCACTAGGCCTTCAGAGCTCCCTTCTAGTTTCTTCTCTTTATCAAGGATTCTCACTCCCTGCTCTGGGGACACAATAGTCTCTATTCTATTCATGTCTGTGAAGCATGTGGCAGCTGGCCAACCTCACTTTCCCATCTGCTCCTCGTGGGCAGAAAAGAAAATCCCTCACCTGTGGTACAAGAGGAGTGTGCCCAGAACATCACCTGCCGGGGGTGACCCTCTAGCCATGGGGCACTGATGTTGCAAACCGACACTGACCTTCCTTGGTCTTTTTTTCTTATGTGAGTGAAGCGTTTTCCAACCCATGTCTGTGTGTAAGATGTACTTTTGTCGGCGTCCCCAGACCTTTGTTCTGAGATAGCTCTGAGCTGTGAACTGACACAGCCAGCAGACTGTCAGGGCAAATTTCCCTCATGATTGAGGAGAGATGCTTGGTCCAGCACCTGTGGAATCTGATAGGGGTGTTGGATGTAAGGATACGTACTTGTAGGAGGCTCAGCTGGACCACGTTCATTATAACCTGAAAACAAAACATGGCATGTAAGAGGAAGTAACAGCAGAATCTGGATATCTCTCTCCCTTTGTCCAGGGGGTGTCTTTCCCTCTGTGTGTCTGGAAAGCATCTATGCACTTTCTAAGATTCTGTTCGACAACCAGTTCCTTTTGAAGAGTTTTCTTCATGTCTCACTGAGAACTGAGTCCTTCCCTGCATGGCTCTAGCATGTCCCTAAGAAGAGGCTCTGTGTTCGCGAGTCTATTCTGCCACCTGGCTAACCATTCAATGACCCATCCCTCTCACCACTCTTAGACCTTCTCTCCACCCAGTGAATATTTATTGGGGAACTCTTAGGTGCCACAAACAGGTAAGTGAATGGCAAATAATTGCAAGCCTGGTGGTTTGAGTCCACTAAGTGCTCCTTGGGAGAAAGGCCTGGCAATTTGCTTCTGAAAATCCCATGAGCCTGTATAGCTCTTCTCTGCCCAGCATGGGGCCGCCAGGGGTCAGGGCTGACTTGGCACCAATGGCTTGTTTGCTTTTTTGTAGATGGCAACCTTAGTTTATGATTTGAGAATACAGTACTGAGCTAAGGGGTCCTCAGCCACTGGAACGTTACATTAAGAGAGAAACACACATCTGACCTATCACTGTGCCTGGTGCCAGGCCCACAGCTTGGCTTGTAGCGTGTATTTGGTACATGCTGAATAGTTGCCTTAAAGGGTACACACACGGCGTACACTTTCCAAGGGGACCAATGTCCTAAACAGCCAGGCAGTGACCTAAGGGCCACTTGGGAACAGAAGTAGACAGAAAAGTCAAGATACAGACTGACCACAAACTTGCCACAGGCACAGGCAGATGCCTTCACCTCCACATGCCTCAGTTTTCCCCTTTGCTAAAATAGGAGTAATAAAGACCACTGGGAGCCCTGGTGACCTAGCAGTCAAGAGCTTGTGTGCTAATCAGAAGGTCAGTGGTTCAAATCTACAAGCCACACCATAGGACAAAGAAGCAGCAGTCTGTTTCTGGGAAGACTGCAGCCTTGGAAACCCTACAAGGCAGCTCTGTCTTATAGTCGCCGTGAATTGGACACTATGCAACGGAAATGGGTTTTGCATTTTGTTTCAAAGGCTACATCCTCCCTGCCCACTTAGGGGGCAATGATAAGAAGAGCAGTGAATAAGAGCGTGTGAGCTCCAAGTCTGGGCCCAGGAGGAGGGTGGATGGACGAGGAGGAGAGTTATCTGCTCAACCCCACCATGGCTTTGCTCTGCTTCGTAGAACTCAGAGGAGGGATGTCTTCTGGTTGAAAACTGTCATTTTTTGAGCGCTTCTCAGAATCAGCATTTTGCTAAAAAATGTCTTTTTGGGATTCTTGGAGATACTGATGCCTAGCCTTCAACTTGACCCCACCCCCTCGCCCCCACCATAGATGCTCAGAATGCCTGCCTGCCTTCTGGTATAGTGGACCACCCAGGAGAGAAGTCATTGGAAGTAGGAAGGGGAGACAGGTGAGAATTTGTTTCCTTTTCGTGGTACTCCTCCAAGAAGACACTTCTATTAGTTAACCATGTTGAAAGGATCAAAGACTTGAACTGTGACAACTGGGATTCAGCTCACTATTCCCAAGCAATACTTACTAGGTACTTTCTGATCTTTAATCTCATCTATTAAATGGCACTAATCAACGACTAGGCTTGTAGGTGACGGTAGAAGTCACAGCTAAGGTTCCCATTTGCATTTGTTCCAAGCCTTTCTCTGGAGAACGGGTAAACAGAGACCATCATAGGACGGGAGGGTGGGAGGTGGGGATGAGGGCCACTCACCGTTGAGGTAGAGACTGTCTTTGTTCAGCGAGTAGGGGCCCAGCCGAGTGATGCCCCGGGTCTGCCAGCTCAGCTCATGGAATACCTGCTTGGCATGCAGGCCTGGACCACTGTGTGGCTGCCGGTAGGTGCAGAGGGCGTCCACCCTGGTCCAGGCACCGTTCTTCACAGACCTGGAGAGGAAGACACTTCTGAGGACAGGAAGGAGAGGTTAGCTCGGGGGGCGGGGGTGGAGGTGGAGGGGAAAATTCAGACCACCTGCTGCCCCCAGTGCACCACATACCCAGAGTTCCAGCCTCATTGGACCATTCAAAGCGCCTCTGCCTATTTATATCTTCTTATCTCAGGGCCTTTGCATGTACAATGACTACTGTCTGAAAGACTCTTTTTTTAATTTCATTTTTATTTTTGTTTTATCTCCTTATCTGATTTTGTACCTAGTCAGTTTTCAGGTTTCAGCTGATATGATTCAGCTGGTTCAGGAATGTCTTCTCCCCAGGATCATCATAGGCCGGGTCAAGGTGGTCCTTTGGGCCCCCAGGCCCCTGTGCAACCCCATCACAGTCCTGCTGGCTATCATGCTGGTGGCGGTGTTGCTGTTAGGTGCCGTGTAGCTGAGTATGACTCATAGCAACCCTATGAATAGATCTGGACCCTGTTTCATTCTGTGCCACCCTCACCATCTCTGACATATCCCAGCCCGCTGCTGCCATCTCAGTGTCCATTCATCTGATCGAGGGTCTTCCTTTGGGGTTAGCTGCTGTCAAATCAGCCCTGACATGTGGTGACCTGATGTACAACAGAAGGGACCCCTCCTGACCACTGGTATGCTTGAGGTTGAGCCCTTTGTTTCTGCTCTTCAGTCCTTCTCATTGAAGGTTTCCTTTAACTCTCTCCTTCACCAAGCACGCTGTCTTTTTCTAGCCATTGGCATGTCATGACTGTGATGATACATCCAAAGTAAGCGACAGTATGTCTCAGCTTCCTCACCTCTAAATAGCATTCAGTTGTATGTCTAATGCACTTGTGTTCATTCTTCCAGCAAACTACAGTATATCCAACATCCTTCCCCATCACCGCAATTCAAACACATCAATTCTTCTTCTGGCTTATTTTCTAACTAACTTTTGTATGCTTATATTATTGTTGTTAGGTACCATCGAGTTGGAACCGACCCATAGCTGACCTTCCAGTGGGTTTTCAGAGACAGTAAATTGCATGGAGGTTGAATGCCCACCTGTCTCGCATGAGCACCTGGTGGATTTGAACCACATGCCTTGACGTTGACAGTACAGCTCCTTACCACTAAGCCACCAGAAAACTGCAAAGTCAACGGCTTGGGTCATGTGCAGCACTGCTGGGTGAAGTTCAAACGGTCAGTCTTTAGGTTCGTTCTAGAGCCATCACCCCTGGGGACCGTGCTTTGTAAATATCAACAGAAAGCAAGCTGACCCGAGACATGAGAGTGAAGATGGATGCAGCAGATGCATCAGGGAGAAGCCATGTTCAGCCCGGGTGGACCTCATGGTCAGAGGCCAGAGCCCCAGATTCCTCTCTGACAGCGGAGAAGAGGAAATGGGCTGGAGGGAGACAAGCATCTTACCTGAGAGTGGTGACCCTGCAACCTGCGAATCGGGCACCCAGACTGCTCATCAAGAATAAGGGGCTGAGCTGGAGGAGAGAGAGGGCGTCAGTGCTGGTCAGATACAAGCGAGAGTGCTGGGCTGGACACATCTGGGTGGTCAGGGAAAGCAGGCTTCTCACCAGGTGCTGCATGAGGGTGTCCGTGATGTTGAACTTGAGGGAGCCAGGCCGCCCCATGTCAGCTGAGTAGCGTAGGTTGTCGATGGTGAAGTTCAGGGTGAACAGCTTCTCGCTGATCTCTCCAGCTGCAACAGGGTAGAGAGATGGAATGCACAGAGGGGCTCCTGAGGTTCCCGTGTCCTCCAGATCAGCCCGAGGGTCACTAGCTAACGGAGACAACTCCAGCAGGGAATTAACAAGCAAACCTGTTACAGTGCACCGTGCGTGTGTCAGAGTAGAAACAGTCTCCATAGGGTTTTCAATGGCTAATAGTTAGGCAGTAGATTGTAAACCCTTTGTTTTAAGCATTTCTGGGTAGATTTGGGCCCTCAATCTGGTGGTTATCAGACAAGTGCATTAGCTGTTTGAACTACGCAGGGGCCTCAGTAGGAAATTGAGATGTGGGGTGCTTTATGATTTGGGGCATGAAGATGGGAGAATACCTTCAGAGACCATCCATCACTAACTTCAAAACAAGAAACACTCTGGTGGCCTAGTGGCAAGGAGCTGCAACTATAATCCCAGAGGCTCATGGTTCAAAGCCACCAGATGCTCTGCCAGAAAAGGAGGGACAATCTCCTCCTGTACCAGTCAGATCTGATTTGACGGTACACTCATACAAAAATAATAAAATAAAAAAACAAAATAAACAAACAAAAAAAAACAAGAAACAAACCAATCATAAAGTGTACAATTCTCTCATTGTTATCAGGTCAGAACCATCTCATAGCCGACCCTCCAGTGGGTTTGGGGAACTGTGAGTCACACAGAAAGTGGGAGATGGCCCATCTTTCTCCTGAGAAACCACTGACAGATTAAAACCACCAGAGACGCACCTTAAGATTAGCAGCAAAACTCCCTATAGACTATTCATGAGAGCTCCCTAAAACGTACAAAGGACACTCAACTGGCCACCAAACGTAAGATGCTCAGTGCCATTAGCCATCAGGAAGATGCAAGCCAAAACTGCAATGCTATACTATCACACTCGGACTGCAATGGTTAAGACTGGAAAACAAAACAAAACACCCCTGGGAATATAACCCTTGAATTTGAGCCTAAGCAGCATACCTCAAATCAGCACGCCTTTTGGAAAGAATAAGACCAGTAGATGAATAACATGCCGAGTTAGATAACAAGAATTGAAGTATATGAAATTCTGACTTTTGTTATTGATAAAGAATAAGACCAATAGATGAATAACATGCCGAGTTAGATAACAAGAATTGACATATACGAAATTCTGACTTTTGTTATTGATTGGTTATGGCCTTGGCAGGAGTTTAGCTTCTGCGAGCCTGTATGTCTTCATTTGTAAAATGGAGCAAAGCCATATGGCTGTGGGGAGGGTTAACACCTAGGCACCTATCTTAGCCAGATGTCTAGGAAACCACTTGTTCCATAAATAGTAACTGAAAATTTAACAGTATGTGCAAACGTGGTTATGAAAGTCTTAGAAGAACAGAGATATGAATTAAAGCATAAAGAGAAGTCCTTGATGTTCATCGCAACTTTATTATATGATTGACAAGAGGCAAAAAGTACAACCTAATGCCCATCAATAGATGAAGAACTCAAGGTGGATCATGGACCTAGGACTAAAACCAAGGACTATAAACTTCATTACAGAAAAGCTAGGAACAACACTAGAAGTCCTAATCCACAACATAAACAGTCTTCCCAGTATCCTGGAAAACCTACAACCAGGAGAAGATAACATAGATGAATGGGATCTTCTAAGACTCAAATCCCTATGCACATCCAAAAACTTCTCCAGTAGGGTAAAAAGGGAAGCCACTGACTGGGAAAAAGTATTCGGTAATACCATATCAGATAAAGGACTTATATCCAGAATTTAGAAATACTTGAGCACCACAACAAGATAAAGGTAAATAATCCAATAGAAAAATGGGCACAGGATATGAACAGGCACCTCACCGAAGACGACATTCAGATGGCTAACAAACACATGAAGAAATGCTCAAAATCCCTAGCCCTAAGAGAGATGCACATTAAAACAACTATGAGATATCATCTCACCCCAGTCAAAATAGCAAAATTTAACAGAACAGCAAGCAACAAATGCTGGCGAGGTTGTGGAGAAACTGGAACCCTGATTCACTGTTGGTGGGAGTGTAAAATGGTGCAACCCCTGTGGAAAGCAGTATGGCGCTTTCTCAAAAAGTTGCAAATAGAGATACCATTTGACCCAGCAATTCCACTACTGGGAATATACCCTGAAGAGACCATAGCTGACATCCAAGCAGATATATGCACACCCATGTTTATTGCAGCTTTGTTCACAATAGCAAGGAGTTGGAAACAACCTAAGTGCCCATCAACAAACGAATGGCTGGAGAAGCTGTGGTATATTCGCACAATGGAATACTATGCTGCATTAAAAAACAAGGAACTCATGCAAACAAATATTACATGATGCCACTGTTGTAGAATGGGACTGTCCTTGGGGTTGGGGAGAGACTGAGTAAGATGGGTTCAATAATGTATACTGCACTGAAACAGAGGAGGGAGAAAACTGTTTAAAAGAGATATATGACTAGGTATTTCTGTCATCACAGGAGTCTAGAGCGAGGGCTACATGGTGGAGGGGACCTGGGGGAGGGTTTGTAAAACAATGAAAGAATCCTTTCTTTTCCTTTTCCATAATTTTTGACTCATGTACTTATAACTTGTTAGTCAAATTTGTGTCTTCTAGGTTGCAACACCCCCATGATACATCTTCAAGGATATGAACATGTATGGCCAAGCACAATCAATAAGAGTGCATCTAAATTCCAAAATCAATCCTCATAATAGTCTATGTGTTTCCTACTGCCAAAGGGGCCCTTTAGAGTAGTGAGAGAAGATCTTCACCCTGAAACCCACAGCGTCCCTTTTCAGCAGGAAGTAGCTAAGAGAATACGCCATCCCCTTTTCCTTATGAATCAGGGTGAAGTCTCTCTCAGGGAGGAGTGATAGGGAATGGCAAAGGACACACCGACAAAGGAGATTAATCAGAACTGGCTTTGACAAGCACTGTGGCAATTGGACAATTAAAACAGACATTCGGATGGCGGGGAAGAAGAACAAACTGGGGAGGAGGGTAGAGAGAATGGTGCAGCAATGAAGGAATGAAAACCCAAAATCCCTGTAAATGTTCATTAAAACGAATAAAATTTAATAATAAAAAAAATGTAGCCCACACATCCAACAGAATTTTATGTAACACAAAAAAAGGAAGTTCTGTGGCATACCATGATATTGATGAGTCTTAAAAACATTTTTGTTGTTGTTGTTATGTACCTATTGAGTTTCCTGGGACTCATAGTGACCCTATGTAAAACAACCCTAAACCCTGCTCTATCCTGTGCCATTCCTATTGTCTCTGACACACCTACCCCATAACCCTAGTCACTGAATCAGTCCATCTTATAGAGGGTCTTCCTCTCCTGCGCTGTCCTTCCACCCACCCAAGCGTGACATCCCCCTCCAAGGACATGCTAAGTGAAATGATCTAGTCACAAACGGATGTATATTATAAGATCTTGCATATATGAAATAAGCAAATAGGGTGGAGGGACAGTGCAGGAGAGGAAGACTCAGGATGAGACAGATAGACTCATTGACTGGAGAAATGGGATTAGTTCTGTTGGAGATGATGAGATTGGCTCAGAATAGGGAAGGATTCAGAGCTAATGTTCATAGGGTCACTATGAGTCATAGGCAAGTTGATGGCATATAACAGCAAAAAACAACAACAGCAATGAAATGAAAACTTACTAGAGGTGTCCTAGAGTTGGGAGGGAGAGGAAAAGGGAGAATCATTGCTTAGAGGAGCTAGGTTTCTGTTAAAGGCGTGAGAAATTTGGAATAGGAACATGGTGATGATTATATAACATGATGGATGTAATCATTGCTTCTCAGTTGCATATGTAAAAGCTGTTGAATTGACAAATGCTTTATAAGATATTCTCTTATCACAAAAATACTTAAAAGATAAAAACACAAAGATTTTTTTTAAATGTGAGAACAGAGAAAAACTGCAGAACAGAGAAAAAAGTGTTTAAGATTAAAACCGTGTGAAGGCTCCATCATATCTACATCTAAGCTCTCCTCACAATGGGCTGGACTTCTCCAGAAACTAGGAGAAAGAGGAATTGTGAGGTATGGATCCTTCCATATATTTCCCTCACTGATGTTCTTCACACATACTTCGGGCACATTGCTAGGAGATGCTATTGGAGAGGACATCATACTTGGGAAGGTGGAGGGACAGCGAAGGGGAAGAGGACCCTCAACAAGGGTGGACTGATACAGTCACGCAGCAATGAGCTTGAGAATATCCAAGATTGTGAGGATGGTACGGGAAATGAAAGGGTTCAGATCTGTTGTTCTTAGGGTCGTTATGAGTCATACTTGACTTGATGGCATCTAACAACAATAACAACGGTATAAAATACAGGATAATCAGCTCTCCAACAAGGTGGAACAGAATCCAAGAAATCAGGGTCGCAAACACTTACTGATGTTGACTGAAGCCTCTGCTCCATAATTGTAACCTGCAGAGAGAAGGGAAGAAACGTTGAAGAGAGTCAGGGTGTATGTAGATGATGAGATGAACTCTACTATCCATTGAAGACTATTCACAACAGTCAACAGGTGGAAACAGCTTAAGTATCCACCAGATAAATATATTAACATAATTTGCCCACATGATAAAATATGACTCAACTACAAAGAGCTGGAAACAACCCAAGTGCCCATCAACAAACAAATGGATAGAGAAGTTCAGGTATATTCACACAATGGAATACTATACAGCATTGAAAAACAAGGAACTCATGCAATATTATGCAAAATGGATGACCCTGGAGGACATTATACTGAGTGAAATATCTCAGTCCTAAAAAGACAAATATTGCATAGGGCCACTGTTGTAAAACAGGACAGACATCAGGGCTGAGGGAAGACAGAAAAGGAGGGGAGGAATGATGTATATTGCATTGAAACAGAAGAGGGAGAGAACTGGTTAAAAGGGACATATGAATGGGTATTCTTGTCATTGCAGAAGTCCAGAGTGAAGGCTGCATAGTGGAGTGGACTTGGAGGGAGGGACAGCATAACAAGGAAAGAGTGTTTCTTTTTCTTTTCAAGAAGAAGAGTGAATTGGGGGGAGGGGTGGGTAGGGATAAAAGTGCAACAATGAGTGACTGGAAACCCTAAGTCTCTGTAAACTTTCATTAAAATTAATGAAAAAAGAAGACTCAACTACAAAGAAAAATGAAGCCCTGAGACATGCAAAACATGAGCGAATCTTGAAAATATTAAGCAAAAGGCAAGAGAAAGAGAAGATTTGGAACCTCTGTAAGAAAAGCTGAGGGGAGAGGTAGCAGAAGAATGCTCAAGGAAGAGGCAACTACTTCTTAGGATCGAAGGACCCCAATTCATCATAGTGAAAATGCAAGCCAGGCTCATGAAGGGGGTAATTGAAAAGTTACTCTAGGGAGATTGAGGCCCTTCTCAGAGTTGTGGAAGAACACAAGACTCCAACTGCGGACAGACCTTGGCTGCAACATAGTTCCTTACCGTTGACGTAAAGACTGTCCCGGTCTAGGCTGTAGTACTTCAATCGGTTGACACCATAAGTCAACTGGCTCAGCTCCCAGTACAGCTGCTCTCTGTCTAGCTGGGGCCCTGCAGGGTCAGCGTGGTAGGTGCAGACAGTGTCCACTCTAGTAGTCGCTCTGCCCTTCTCAGGCCTGCAGAAAGAAGGATATAGAAGTGGAGGGACAGAGCTAAGAGTGTTCTACAAATTAAAATGAAGAGAATGAAGGGAAGAGGCTGGAGAGATGAAGTAACCTTAGTTGAGAGGTCATCTATATGGTTTTCACTGTTGTTGTGCTTTCAAATCAGAATCAATTCATAGCTGACCCTCATTAGAAACAACACAAGCACTAAAAGGGACAGAAAACATTAGGCTTAGCCTCTGCATACTCACTTAAAAGAACAAAGGTCACTGTTTATAATAGAGTTTGATTCAATGAGCCTCTAAACCAGAACCCTTGTTCCTTGACTCTAAGCTTTTTTTTTTAATTTTAAATTGATTTTCATGAAAGTTTACAGAGACTTAGGATTTCCATCCATTCGTTGTTACACTTTTCTCCCTGCCCACCTCTTCCCTCCCAATTCACTTTTTCTTTCATTGATATTCAATCCCTCCCCCCAAGTCCACTCCACTATGCAGCCTTCATTCTGGACTCCTTTCATAAGCTTTGAGAATTCTGGCCACCTGGAGATCACAGCCACTGAGCCTTGTGCATGAGGGTCTACTCAACTTGTTAAATTGTTCTGTCCAAGGTTCTCACCTAAGTGAGGTCAGAGTGCATCCAGAGAGGAGAGGGCCAACACTGGTCTTATTGAGCAAGGGTCCAAGCTGGTAATAAAAGAGAAGGAGTGAGCATTGGTGTCCAAAGGCTGCAGGAAGGTGTGATGGAGACCAGCGGGTGGTCAACATAAAGTTCTCACCAGCTGCTGCAGGACTCGTTCAGTGGAATTGAACTTCTCGGAACCTGGGCGTCCCATGTCATTTGTGTAACGCAGATTGGTGATAGAGAAGTTGAGGGTGAATGGAACCAGGGTCGGTTCAGTGACTGCATCAGGCCGGGAAGAGAAAGACGCTCATTTAGATTATAGTAATGCTCCAAGCTGAGACCTTAGCCAGAAGAACTAGCAATCGCCTAAGGATACCCATTGGCTATAGGAGCTGAAAGGAGGGGATATTTTGTTAGCTCAAAAGACATTGACAAATATTGTTTCACTCAATGAACATTTACTGAATGCGGATGGGAGTTGGTGAAGAATATTGAATATACCATAGACTGCTAAAAGAACAAAGAAATCTCAGAAGAAATATAGCCAGAATGCTTCTTAGAAGTGAAGATGGTAAGACTTCATCTTATACACTTTGGCTGGTCCCTGGAGAAAGGCACCATGCTTGGGAAAGCAGGGGGCCATACCTGGTAGAAAAAGGCAGACCCTCAGTGAGATGGGTTGATACAGAGGGCTGCAACCAGGGATTTAAGCTGATTTTGTTCAGCTGGATGTGAGGATGGCGCTGGATCAGGTAGGTTTGTATTCCTGGATGGTGCAAGGAATTTACAGTAAGTTGTTAGCTTAAAAGTTGGTGGTTTGAATCCCTCCTGGTGATCTGCTTCCATAAATATTTCAGCCAAGAGAATATCGTGGAACAATTCTCTTTATTCTATTAAACTTGAGGTGATTATGAGCCAGAACTGAATGATGTGAGAGCACGGGTTTGATATTTTGGTTTTATAATGAGTGCAAAGCTCTGTGCTGGTAACAAGGGGTAATGCTATGAACTGCATTGTGTCTTCCAAAAATATATGTGGGAATCCTTAGTTATATAACTGTGGATAGAACCTTGTTTGCTGTGTGTAGCGTATGTCTTAAACCTAATTGCTTTCATGTTACTAAAAGGGTAATTTAGATAGATAATGGCAAGAATAACAGAGGGAGATAGATGCTCATGTGAAGATTTTTGAGAAACCAAGAAAAGTCCTATAGAAGCTGAGAGAGACAAGGGTCTTCCCCAAGAACTGACAGAGGGACACATCTTCAAAAGCCAATAATTCTAATTACTGAAACTCTGAGAAAATACATTTTTGTTGTTTAAGCTACCCTCTGTGGTACTTCTGTTACAGGTAGTGAAGACATATGATCACCTCGTATTGTAGCTGGGGAATGACCAGACCTTCTAACTGCAGGGGAACAAGGAAGCATTGTCATCAAGGAAATCTATCCAGCCCAAAGACTCAGGAACAAAACTAGCACCAATTCAGGTGGGACCAAAATGACAGGAGGGTTAGGTAAATGCAACTGGACAACTGGAAAGAGTGCCCTTGTCAGGAGCAACGGCCGGACAGAGGCTGGGTGTCAGGGCAGAACAGCTGTATACATACAGCCTGAAGCCTTTCACTGCAGCCACCTGCAAGTATGGACATGAACCTGGAAGGATACGCTGAGCCCAAGATGGAAACTCTGACTATCGAGAACAAAGAGGTTGGATGTGACTTGAGACCAGCTGGAATCATCTGAAGATTATCGACCAGAAAGGGATTATGAAGACATAGGGAACACTATGAACCTGGAGAAAGGATGAAAGTTATACAAGTGTTCAGGTCTTTCGTTCATAAGGTCGCTATGAGTTGCCCAAGACTCTATGGCACTTAACAACAACAACAACAACAACAACAGGCCATAGTAACCATCCTCATTGCTTGAATGAAGGCTAATGTGATGGTAGATGCAGGAGAAGGAAGGATTTGAGTGATATCCAGGATGGAGAAGAGATGAGCTTTGGTGATGAACAAATGTCATTGGTGAGGAACAGGGCAGGCCACGGTTGGCATGACTGCCTGTGTCTTTGATGATGAAGATGGGTACAGGTTTGTTACTTCAGGTTGAGGCCAAGTGACTTGGATCATGTTTCAGAAGTGGATGGACTAAGGGTGCGGAGCAGCTAGGGTGTAAATCTGGGAATACGGAGGATGGATGGTGGGTCGGATCCATATAACGGGACAAGCTTCCTCAGGGAGAGGGAGGGAGGGTAAAGGAAGATGTGATTTGGTACAAATAATGCTGGAGAAACCATTCTCTTTTCACTAGGAGCCTGGGGCCTTTCTTACCTATGGGTTTGACGGTGAAGGTAGGTGCCAGAGAGGATGTTGAGAAGGATATGGAGGTCACAGGGGCTGGAGAAGAAACACGAAGGTTGAAATACAAGGTGAGTTATCTCTAAGGAAATGGCATTGGGTGGTGGGGTGGGTACAATGTTATGGAAATTTACAGCTCTCTGTATAACTCTGTCAGCCTAGTGACAGGGCAGTGACCACAAGACAGTGGACAATTCATGCACGCTCTAAGCATGTCCTCAGAACCCTTTTCCTTCTTGATTGTAAATAGTCGGGGAAAGGGCTGGCAGGTCAAGCACCTCCTATGTGTTCTGGTGATGTGTGTTCAGGAGACCCCAGGCACACAGGGATGTTGGGGGTCTCTCTGTAATACTCACTATTAGAGGTGGTGGTTGAAGTCCAGTGGGTGTAACCTGCACAAAGCAAAGATGAAGGAGGGAGAGACACTCAGTGAGGAGGCAACATGGCCACAGGGGAAGTGGTGGGCCTGAAACTCTCTAGCTGTGATTCTTGACAAGGCAGATAAAAGCCCCACTTGATACAAATGGAAGGACACACACGCTCGTCTTTCTCAGTGTCTTCCACGAGGAGAGGCACATACACTTGGAAGCCTGAATTAGGAAGACCCCACTAGTAAAAGGATGCTAGCAGGCTCACTCACCATCGACATAGAGACTATTCCTGTCCAAAACGTATGGACCCAACTGGGTGACCCCATCAGTCAGCTCACTCAGCTCCCAGTAAAGCCACTCTCTGTCCAGCCAGGGGCCCTCAGGGTCAGGATGGTAGGTGCAGATGGCATTCACTCTGGTGGCTTCCCTGCCAGCCTTCAGCCTGGACAGGGAAAATGAGAGGGATGGTAACACCTGGTGCCTCCAGAAAGACAGCTGCTGAGATTCCTTAGTGTTAAGGTAAGAAAGGACCAGAAAAAATGGCACAAGTAAAAAAGATGAGTTTGGGATTAAAGTAAGTGGAGGAGACTGTTCGCTTGGAGAAAATCCTTGGGGAGAGAATGCCAGGACCAAAGGAAATTCTCTGCTTGGTCAAAGAAAGGGGAATGAAGGAATTCAAAGGGGCATGCAACAGACAGATGTTGTTCTGCTGATGGAATCCACCACCTAGGGGTAGGGACAGGCATCCTAGGAATGGGGATTGCCGTGCTCGGAGAGCGAGCACCTCCTGAACTCCACCTTTGCCGAGAACCTTGTATGTGGCAGGGTGGAGAAGAAGGCAGCCACATGCTTCAGTCTTAGGAATATAGCAGGTCATCCAAGGAGCTTTCGTCATAACTCACCTAAGCAAGGTCAGTGAACAGCCAGCGTAGAGGGAACCGACACTGGTCTCATCAAACAAGGACCCAAGCTGATGAGAAAAGGGAAGGAGGTGAGTAAGAGGGTAGGTACGACGGGATAGGTGTGTGTAGGGGGGCAGCCAGGAGGTCATCATGGGGGTCTTACTAGGTGCAGCAGGGTTTTCTCGGTCAAGTTGAACTTTGTGGAGCCTGGTTGTCCCACGTCATCCATATAGCTCAGGTTGGTAATGGTGAAGTTGAGGGTGAATGGCACCAGGGGAGGTTCAGGAGCTGAATTGGGGACGGAAGGAGAAGTTGTTCATCTGGGCTATGGTACATAGCTAAGGATGGCAGCACCATGATGGAAGAAGAGACTGAGGTTGTTAACAGTTACAGCTTGCTTGGCTTTGCAATCAACACTCTTTGCACCAGCAGTTAGGAAATCAAATTGCATTGGGGAAGAAGTCTGCTGTCAGGGACCTTTCCAGAATACTGAGAAGCAACGATGTCAGTCTAGAGACTAAGGTGCACCTGATCCTGTCCATGGTCTTTGCAATTACTTGCTATGCATCAGAGAGCTCGACAATGACTAAGGATGACAGATGAAGAATTGATGCCTTTGAGTTGTGATGCTGGAGAAAAGTCTTGAACATATCATGGATTGCCAAGAAAACAAATCAGTCTATCTTAGAGAGGGTGAAACCAAGTTTCTCCTTGGAAGCTAGGATTTTGAAGCTCTGTCTCACGTACTTTGGGCATGTGGCCAGGAGGGACTGATCCTTGGAGAAGGACATCATACTTGGAAGGGTGGAGGTATGGGAAGCCAAACTTCATACCAAATATTATATGAAAACTCTTGTTCAGGAATTGAAGGAATTATAAATTTTTAAGTTAGGATTTCTCTTGTGACAGATCACAGAAAATGAGCTGTTTATTCCCTGCAGACAAGAGACACCTAGGGCCCCCCTACAGAGGTATTGTTACTGTGTGAAATAATTCCTGAGCTAAGGCTTACAATAGAGAAAACTTTGCCTTCATTTACAAGGAATTCTTTTTAAGATTTGTTTCCCCTGATTATCAATAAATACACAGAGAGGCATTCGAGAACTGCTGCTCCCCTGTTTTTCATGCTCTCTGCTCTATCTCATTCCTGGTTGTCTGTCTCATTATTAATAATTATAAAAATGCTTTACCCTCGGTCTGCAACATAGAGGGATAGTGCAGGAGAAGACCCTGGATGAGCTATAACTTGGGTAATGGGGGCAGGTGTGTTGGAGTCAGTGATATTAACTCAGGACAAGGTTGGCTTCAGAGTTGTACATAAAGGGTTGCTATGAGTCACAGGCAACTTGACAGCACATAACAATAAGAAAATATGTCTCTATCTATATATCACATAGCATATAGCTGGGCAATGAATAAGGATGCAAAAAAGAGGATTGACGCCTTTGAGCTGGGTGTTGGAGAAGAGCACTGAAGATCCCACGGATGACCAAAAGAACAAGTATATCTTGGAGAGGGTGCTGCCATAGTGCTCTTTGGAGGCAAAAATAATAAGGCTTCATTCACCTCATATACCTGGATATGTTTCCATGAGGAGGTTATTCCTTGGAGAAGGACACAATACTTAGAAAGGCAGAGAGTTGGTGAAGGAGACCTTTGACCAGGTGGATTAACACAGTGGTTGCCTCAATGGGCTCTGTTGTGTCAGGAGGTGTGAGTATGACACAGGATAAGACAGGGTTCAGAGCTGTTGTTCATAGAGTTGACATGGGTTATACTCAATGGCACCTAAGCACCACCACAACAAAATACGAAGGCGGAACCGTGCTGGTACAGTGAGTAAGCTCTTGGAGCTGACTGAAAGGCATGCTGTTGGAACTTACCTGCTGCTTCATGGGAGAATGATACAGTTCTTTGCTTTTGTAAAGATTTACAGTTTGGAAACCATATGGGACAGTTCTGCTCTTTCTTATTGGGTCATTATGAGTTTCCGTCGACTGAATGGCAGGGCTTTGGTTTGGCTTGGTTTAAGGGTCAAGATTGCATTGGATCACTGGCCAGAAACATCAACAGTCCAGTAAGTTGATCCGTGAACTGAAGGAGCTAAAGCAAAGAACAACCTAGACTGCACACGATTCTGTGAGACTTAACTCATTAATTGAAATCACACTGAGGAGAACAAAAGCAAGTGTGTGAATCCACCAGCCGTTCTACAGGGAAAAGGTAGGCACTTTCCTCCCATAAAGATTTACAGGGTGATGGAGAATGTCTGTGAATCAGAATCAACATTATGACAGTGAATTGAGTTGTGGGTTTTGGTAATGGGTACAAATGACTGTGCTTGTCTCTGTGGGCTCATAGAGGAAAAATGCATGTTACTGTTGTTAAGTGTCATGGTACCCTGACTGGACCTGTTGCTTTTTTTTAGTCCATTGTTGCAGCCACTGCCAATTTATCTCATTGCGAATCCTCTTTTTTTTTTTTTTTTTGCTAACCTTGTACATTCTTCTAGGTGGTATAGTACTAGTCTGTGCATTGCTGTACAAAGGTAACTTGTGGTTGTTGTGATGCTGAACACTGTGACACTGATGTACCAAATGTGATAATGGTCACCCATGGTGGACAGTGTTTGCTGGAGCTTCCTGATTAAAACAAGCCTGGAAGCAGGAGTGGCATCCACTTGCAAAATGGCTTGCCTCCAGAAACTCTATGAACAGTGCTCAGGCCTTTCATTCATTGAGTTGCTATAAGTCATCTACAACTCGATGGCACCTAACAACAAAATAACAAAGCCATCAACTTGTAGTATTTTGTTGTTGTTACTGTATCATCCATCTCATTGGGGTCTCCCTCTCCTGCGCTGTCCATCCACTCTTCTGAGCATGAGGTCCTTCTTTAAGGACCAGTCTCTCCTGGCCGCATGCCCAAGTTAAGTTTGAGTTTTGTTTAGTAAAATGTACTTGCCTGTGATATTCAGTAATTAACACATTCTGTGGAATTTTCTTTGTTTGGAATGGGCATAAATATGAATCTCTTCAGATCTATGGGCAGGTAGTTACCTCTCAAGTTTTATGATTTATAGGAATGAACATTTTCATCATTGAATCCATTTATTGAAACCTCTCTGTTGGTATTCTATCAATCCGAGGAGCAATGGTTTGCACCAGTTCCTTCAGTGCACCTTGACTTCTTCCTTCAGTGCTATAATTTCTGACCATACACTACTTTCTGAAGTGGTTGAACACCTATCTTTTTTTTTTTGTACAGTAACTTGGTATTCCTCTGTTTTCTTTTGATGTCTTCTCTATCATCTAATATTTTGCCCATCGAAATTTTCAGTAGTGCAAAGCTTGCATTTTTTTTTTCTTTACCTATTTTAGTCTGAGAAATTGCAAGCATGCTCTTCACTTCTAGTTCCTGATTTTATTTTATTTTCTTGAATAACATTGAAATATGCTGTTCAGTTCATTTGCCTCATCATTTCTTCTGTTCGCTTTATATACTCAATACTCAAATTAAGTGTCATAGCTTATTTTGACCTATGTTTTGTCCTATCTTTGTAAGAGCCTTTTGGGGAAAAAGAGAAAGTCTTGAATGAAGTGAGAAGCAAATGTGCAAGGTGAACTAGAGGGAAGGCCAAGGTTGGCATGGTGGTCTCAGAATTTAATGCTTAGGGATGGAGAAGATTTGGGCTGATAATGGATGTTGAGATTAGGAATCCTGAGTAATTCTTGGGGGGTATGTGGGATCAACAGTGCTGAGCTGCTGCCTGGTGTGGATTTGAGTATCCAGAGTCTTAAATGTTGGCAGAATTCACAGAGTAAATGAACTTTCCTGGGGAGAGTGAATGAGCAATGAAGGAAGAAAGGATTTGGTACAAATGGTGGAGATATAAGAAATTAATGATTAATAAAATCCTGAGCTCTTTCCTACCTGTGGACATGGTAGTAAAGGTAGATGCAGGGACGATTCTGGGAAGGATGTGGAAGTTATAGCTGTTGTGGGGAGGGGATCAAGATTATAATCCAAGGGGTGAATGATCTCTAAGGAAATGACCATGGATGGTGAATGTGGGGTATTGAGTTATGAAAGTATAAAGTTATAGAAATAGCATGTTCTCTCAGCCTGGGAAGAGGTTTTATTCTCAAAATCACGAGCAAGGGGGTGACCTCTGTTTCCCTCAACCCAGCCTATGGTCTTTGAGGACTGTTGACCCTTTCCTTTCTGATAGTAAGTTATGGGTGAGATGAGTTGGCAGGTCATGCAGCACTTTTTTGTTTGGAAGAGGTGGGGTGATACCAAGCACACAGGGAAACTGGGGTTTGCAATACTCACGGTTGGAGGTGGTAGCTGAAGTCCAGTTGGTATAACCTGCACATGGTGAAGAATGAGGTGAGAGAGACATTTAATGAAGCGACAGCATAACCATAGGAGAAATAGTGGCTGGAACCCTAAGAGCTGTTTGTTATTCCTCTCAAGGAAGACAGAGCCCTTACTTGGCAGGGATCAAATGCCACACTTCCCTTTCCGGTTCAGAAGTGACAGAAGTCTTGCTTAAATATTTCTAAAAAGGATAGGCCCAGATAGAAACCTGAACTCACGTAGGAAAACCCTACCCTGTCTAGACCCATCTAGCAAGGAGGAAGAGATGCCCACCCCAGCAGAACCTCTCACCATTGACATAGAGACTATCTTTCTCTAGGGTGTAAGGGCCCAGTTGGGTGACTCCATGGGTCAGCTGGTTCAGCTCCCAGTAGAGCTGCTCTCTGTCCAGATCAAGTCCCTCAGGGTCGGGATGGTGGGAGCAGATGGCATTCACTCCAGTGGCTTCCCCATCTTTCTTGGGCCTGGAGAGGGAGGATAAGGAGAGAGCAACCAATGGAGTCTCCCACAAAAGTTTCTGAGATTTGATTATTGACATATAGGTGTCAGGGAATGTGGGAAGCCCGGAAGAGGGATGAGAAGGTCGATTGAAAGTCTCTGAGGGTACTTTTCTGGAGATCATCCTGGGACTGTGGTAGAATTGTAGGTGGGGAATTTTTATGAAATTGAAAAGCCAAAAATTATATATCCACAGCATGGAGACAGAAGAACTCATACGTGGGACTCAGTACTGGGGATTAGAGTACGTGGAGATCTTTCTGGAAACACTTCCTTGGGATAGTATTTAACACCTGAAGGAAATACTTTTTATTGTTAAGAGAGCCGGGGAGAGGGACTTTGAAGAGCGATCAGCGAAGGCCCAGGTCTGCTTAGAAGCTCGCAGTCTGGGAACTGGAAGGCGGATTAGTAGGCACCTTGGTTTTGGATCCAGCGCCTCCTGAAAGCACCCTTGTTTCTTCCTCCTTCAGCAGTGTTGGAAGGAATGCCTTCGGCCTGGGAGCACCTGGAGTAGCCACACTTCCACCCCCTCTATCCCCCCCACCCCCAGCTGTCCTATAGGAGAATCTCACCTGAGCAAGCTCAGTTTGCAACCAGAAAATAGGGGGCCAACAGTGGTGTTCTTGAACAAGGGCTCAAGCTGTGGAGAGAAAGAAAGGCAGTCACGTGGGTGGGGCGGGGCAAAGGTGGGCGGGGCACAGTGAGGAGTGTTTGGAGCTTTCATAGTCGGGTGCCATCTCTGAAAGCCATCCAAGGGTCAGCCACGAGTCGGTTCTGTTTCAATAGTACAAAACAGTACATAAGAGCAGGGCAGAAGCCAAGTTGGAGACCCCGGCCCCAGTGAACAGGACAGGAGTGAAGTGAGAAGGTTAGTACCAGGGAACACAGTAGAAATGAGGTAAGAAGGTTTGGAACCAGGGGCAGGACATGAATTAGGCGTTGGGACCATGAGAAGGGCAGGAGGAGGCGGGAGAGCCTTTTACCAGATACTGCAGGACCTTCTCCATGGTGCTGAAATTTATGGAGCCAGGAGGCCCCATGGCCTCAGTGTAGGGCAGGTTGAGGATGGTGAAGTTGAGGGTGAAGGGCACCAGGGCGAGGCTTGTGGCTGCATCAGAGGAAGGAGAGAGAGGGGCCATGTCTAGGCTGGGCCTGGGAGGGATGTTAGGGGCAGGGTCTGGGGCCATAACTCTGAACCCAATGCGGGTCACATAGTAGTTCTTAGCGATGGTTGAGGGTCCTTGGAGTCACCAGTTATGGATGACATTTGAGCACTGTCTACCGAACATGGAGCATAGAATGTGTTGGAAGCTCCAAAGTGTTGAAACATCCATTTGAAGACTCAATGATCATGCCTTTCCTTTCAATTGTTCACTATCCACCCCCTCAGCCACCAAGCACTGGCCATTTCTCTGTGTCCTGAGGCCATTTACAGCTGTGTCCTTCTTTCTTGACCGTGTGTGTGTGTGTGTGTGTGTGTGTGTGTGTGTGTGTGTGGGGGTGTGGGGGGGTGGCTGGGAGTAGGGGGTAGGGGGGTAGGGGTGATGGGTGGTGGTTGGTGTCAAGGGGCCTTTTGCTTCCTTGGGGAGTTTTGAGGGGTAGGGAAGGTCCTGGGGTCTCTAAGTACTCACTATTGGGAGTAGTTTCTGAAATCTGGTGGGTGTAACCTGCAAGGTAGAAAGAGAAAAGATGAAGGAAGTCAGGAAGAAGAGAAAGGGTGAAATGGAAAGGGTGGGCATGGGGCTTTCTGGGATGCAGAGCTGGTGAGTAGCCCCTTACCATTGATGTAGAGACTGCCTTGGTCCAGAGTATAGGGCCCTAGCATGGTGATGCCCTGGGTCAACTGGCTCAGCTCCAGGTACAGCCCTTCGCTGTCCAGCCCAAGGTCTGCTTGATGGGGACGATAGGTGCATACGGCATCTACACTGGTAGCTGTTCCATCTTTTTCAGGCCTGAGAAGATACACAAATAGGAACAATGAGGATCCAGTTTGTTCACAATAGCAAGGAGTTGGAAACAACCCAAGTGCCCGTCAACAAACGAGTGGATAGAGAAGCTCTGGTATATTTACACAATGGAATACTATGCTGCATTGAAAAACAAGGAACTCATGAAATATTATACAAAATGGGTGACCCTGGAGGACATTAAGCTGAGTGAAATATCTCAGTCACAAAAGGACAAAGATTGCAGTGTCACTGTTGTAAAAAGGACCTGACATAAGGGTTGAGAGGAGATTGAGAAAAATGGGATAAATGACGTATACTGCATTGAAACGGATGATGGAGAGAACTGTTTAAAAGGGATATGTGATTAAGTATTATTGTCATGACAGGAGTCTGGAATGAAGGCTGCATAGTGGAATGAACTTGGGGAGGAGGGATTGTATGATAATGAAAGAATTTTTCTTCTCCTTTTCAAACCGAAGGCTACATAGTTGAGCAAACTTGTGGGGAGTGATTGTATAACAATGAAATAATTTTTCTTTTACCTTTCAAAGAGAAGAGTGGACTGGGGTGGGGGGAGGTGGGGCAGAGAGAAAAGTGCAACAATGAATGAATGGAAATCCAAAGTCTCTGAAAACTTTCATTAAAATTAATTAAAAACAACAACAAACCCTGCCAACATTAAAACCCCCTAAACCAAAACCCAAAACCAGGTTACAAGAGTGAAAGTCTCCTTGAATCAGGGCCTTATCTACCTTGAAACCAGAAGAACTTGATGGTTCCTGACCTTTCTAATCAGGGGTACAATGAATGGATTCTGATCAAAAGGGAGAAAAATGCAGAACAGAACCATGAAATCTTACAAAGCCCACATTTACCTGACTAGCTGAGGCTGCAAGATTTCTCTGAGATACATTTGAAACCTTGAATTGAAACTATCGCCCTGAAGTCACATTTTAACTAAATAACACTTTGGTTCACAAATAAAGACTCTCTTGTGACAGAGCTCCTTTAAAAAAAAATCACCTCCGTGAGACAATGACTTTAAAACAAAGTTCGGAAGGTAAAGGAGCAGGAAAACTAGATTTCTGGGGACAGAACAAACATGACAATGAGAGAGTGCATGGATTGCAAAGCAAGCAAGCAACGTCACTGTGGAAATTGTCGATGTGGAACTTTTCCAATGGAAACTTAAAACTGCTGGGTAAACCTTCACCAAAACCACAATATAATAAAATGCCAGTTTTGTTTCTTTTTTAAAGAGAGCAAGTGGTGTGGCTCTGTCAACAGAACCCAGGATGCTGAACCACCTGTCTTGGGAAAGTGATTCCTTAAATGTCGCCTCCAGGCACTGACCTCTCTCTCTCTCTCTCTCATCACTGACCTCCTTCGCCTCTGCGATCCACCACAAGGCAGCACATTCTCATTAGAAGCAGAATCATTTCGTTACACATTTGTTGACATTCTTCCCCCTCTCTTCTTATTGGTGGAATCAGAATGTGTTTACCCCACGCCCGGGCATCAGACCCTGCCCTGTCTACCCTCACACTTGCAGCTGAGTATCTCTGATCTGCATGCTCCATGCCAGGTTTTGCTCTTTGGATCTGTGATTCCCATTCCTGCAGAGCTGTCTCCTGGCCCAGAGGTGTGGCTCTTGGCTGCCACCTCCTGGTCACCTGAGAGCTTTGATTTCAGTTCCCCGGGGCCCACTGCCCTTCTGCCCTATCTTGGCTCTTCAATGATCTATATGTCCATTTTCTCATTTATACAATGGGAATAAACGTGATGGTCTCTACCTGCTAGAGGGTCAGCTATGAGTCGATTCGAGCCTGATGGCACATAGCCACCTCAGAACTACAGGAAGGATAGCTCATTTTTATCATGATTCTTTTTGATGGAATATTTATTGATCATATTGATTTTTTCATATAATAATTTATATACTTTTGTTTTAGAACATTGATTACCATTGATTAATATGGCCAATTTATTACAATGGCTAATCTTGCTTTTGCATTGCTATTCAGTAAACGCAACCTCGGAGATGGTAGGACTCAGGACTCAGGGAAAATGTGGGGGTGTCAGGAGCTCCAGGGGCAGTGACTGGAACACCAGTCCCAGACTGGGGGATGGAAATGACTAAGGTGGGAGATTCACCCTTGAGGGGCAAAGAGTTGAATCCCCAACCTTCCTGAGAGGCCACTTCTTTCTCAGGGAGTCTCACCTGAGAGAGGTCAGTCTGCAGCCAGAGTACAAAGAGCCGATACTGGTGTTCTCAAACAAGGGCTCGAGCTGGAGAAGAAGAGATGGAGGTGAAGAGAAGGTCTGGCAGACAGGGATGGGGATTGGGTGACGTGCACTAGGCAGGCACCAGTGAATGGAGAAAGGCTGAGAGGGACAGGACTGGCACCGTCTGAGAGGCAGGGCAAAGAGATCGGGTAGATGTCAGTCAGTAGGCTTGACACAGTAGGTTGGGGAAAGGTGATTGGGGCAAGGATCAGTTAATAGTCTGAATGAGGTGGCCAGGGCTCTCACCAGTAACTGCAGGGCCTTCTCCATAGCGTTGAATTTCAAGGAGCCCAGAACATGCATGTCCTCCGTGTAGAGCAGGTTGGTGATGGTGAAGTTGAGGGTGAAGGGCACCAGGATAGAGCCAGGGGCTGTCACAGGGAGAGAGGAAGCTGCCACCCTCTGTGAGCCCTGTGCTAGATCTAATGGGGACAGGGGCTGAGAATCTCCAGCCACCTCTGTGATGGCTGGTGCATCGGATCAGAATGTCTTTTTTCCCAGAATGGAAAACTTTCTTTTAAAAGATATGAGTAATAATGGTAACGACAATAATGACCATAAGAAAAACAGCAGCAACAATAATGGTCAGGATTTGTTAAGAGCAGATTCTACAGTGCACTCTGTGATGAACAGTATCTCCTTTAATTCTTACAACTATCCCAGAAGGTGAGCTCATGGGATAGTGAGGGCAAGGAAGATAAGAGTGAAGTGAAGTCACCATCAGAGAAGGTAAGTCACTGTCCTAAAGCCATTCAGCTCTTTTGAGCTAGAAATTCAGGCTCTGGAGTTTGAAAAACTTGAGGTTGAGTCCTGGCCTTTTTTGGGACATGGCTCAAAAAAAATCAGAGTACCCTAAGCTTCATTTTCTGCCACTCTCAGATGCATGAATAATAGTGCCTATTTGCTAGGGTTAAAGTATGATCACATATCAGGAATACATGGCAAATAACCAATGGATATTGCTGCTGCCTTGTTGACATTGTTGATGTACTGATATTTATCTGCGCTTTCTTTGCTGATAGTCTTAGTCTCTGTCCCTCGAGAATCAGTCTTCAGTTGTGTGAGCTATTTCCTTTCTGTCCTTAGATGGTACAAATGGTTAATGAACTTGACTGCTAAATGAGAGGATGAAGGTTTGAGTGCAGTCAAGGTGCCTCCAAAGGAAGGCTTGAAAAATTGACTTCAGAAAAATGAGCTACTGAAAACTTCATGGAGTGTAGTTTTACCCTCATGGAGTCACTACGAGTCATAGTTGTATTTTTTTTCTATCCTAAGAAAATACTGGGTTTTGGGAACTGTTCCAAATGAATTGCTCTTTCTGGTCTTACAAACTGATCCTCTGGACTTTCTAAGGGTTAGGGACAGAGGACATGGTTACCAGCTGCCCCTGGCAGGTTATCTGGATTTGTTGTTGTTGTTATGTGCTGTTGAGTCACTTGAGAATCAAAGCGACCACTATGAGTCGAAGGTTATCTGGGGCGATTGTAACATGGCCACACGTTCATACATACCCCCACCCCCCCAATCCACAACCCTTCCATCAGTAGACAGAGGTCCATTTCTTCACCCCTTGAATCTGGCCTGGACATGTGACATGATTTGGGCAATTGGATAAGGAAGAAAGATGTTTTGCACTGGGGCTGTCCTTCCTGAAGCTACGAACTCAAATGACCAACATGAATATGGTCAGTGAGCCTGAGCTGGCCTGGTGGGTGAAGACAAACCAATAAGGAAGAACTGAGGCATCCCGACCCAACGAATATCCAGGCCTTTATAGAAGCTGAGACACCAGCCACGCTGTAGGATGGAAGACGTAGAAAGGAACCCAGTTAACAATGGAGGAATTGGCAGCTTGAGCTGGAAATCTACTGTTCACAGAGCTCTTCAGATATAAGCATGGACCTGGACTGGGCCATGGCAAGGGAATGGTCTCCAGGATTCATGCTCCCACCATGTCCTCTTTCCTGCTTGTACACACTCTCTTTGCTCTTCTTACTGTCATAGACAGAGGCACATGGGTGGGAAGGAAAGAGCATGGAGAGCCGCTTCCTACCTGGGGAGCCGGAGAAGGGGACTGAAGTGGTTGAGGGTCCCGAGGAGAGTGAGACAGTCACAGCAACTGAGGAGGAAGCAGAAGAAATGGGAATGATACAGCGTCAGTGTCTTGGACTTTTCTTAGACAAGGGGCCCTGATACCCTGCCCGAGTGATGGGAGGCAGAGATTGGGAGATGGTGGCCAAGGCCTTACAGCTTCCTTTACTCCCAGGCTCCTTGGCTATGGGAGAATGACCAACTGCTCTCACCAAGACCAACGGGACTTGGGGTCTTTTGAGGTTTGGACACTTACCACTGAGAACAGTAGTTAAGACTCGTCTGGTATAACCTACAAAGAGTGAGTAAGAAAAGAGGGAGATGAAGGGTTTGAGAAGGTTTATGGTGGGATGGAACATCTGAACTTTCAAGGAGGAACAGATGCCAAGAGGGCATCTGTGGGTTAAGGGGTCATTCTCTTTCAGGCTATGAACAGTGCCTCCTACAACCTTTCTCTCTGACTTTCTGTTTCCTCTCCTCTCCTCTCCTCCCTCTCCCCATCCCCATTCCTTTCTCCTTCTCCCTCCTCCTCCTCCTCCTCTTTCTTCTCCTTCTTCTCTCTCTTTCTCTCTCTCTTTCCCTTCCTCCCTCCCTCCCGCCTCTATCATTTTGCCCTTAATAGAGATGCTGCAGCAGCAAGACCCACCTGGGGACCCAGAGGAGACCCCTGCCACCACTACCACTCACCATTGACATAGAGACTGTCCCTGTCCAGGGTGTAGGGACCCAGCTGGGTGATATTGTGGGTCTGGTGGCTAAAATCCCAGTAGAGCTGTTCTCTGTCCAAGCCAAGACCTGTGGGGTCAGGGTGGTGCATGCAGATGGCATCTACTCCCGTAGCTTCTTCATCTTTCTCAGGTCTGGGGAGAGAAAGAGATAGGCATGTGACAGGTCAGAGCGGTGTCACTGACAGACCGCTGTTTGAATTAGGGGAGACCAAAGTGGATATGTTAGTCAGATGACTATTGGTTCAAACTCTAGCCTTCTCATTTTTGGATAACAATGACACAAACGTCTCTAACTCTTGGTTCTCTCATCTGCACAGTATGAATAATGCTGGAACCTCTTGGTTGGAATTCTATGGTCCAGAGATGATTGATATACAATACCCACCCCTGGTGTCAGGTCCATTATGTTGTTGTTATGTTGTTATGTGTGGTCGAGTAGCTTGCGACTCATTGCAACCCTAGCTACAACAGCCCTAAACCCTGCTCTGTCCTGTGCCAGTCTCACTGTCTCTGATACACCCATCCCAATTACCCCAGTCACTCAATCAATCCACCTCATAGAGGGTCTTCCCCTCCTTTGCTGTCCCTCCACCCCTCCCAAGCATGATGTCCCTCTCCAAGGACTGGTCCCTCCTTGAAACGTGTCCAAAGTATGTCAGACGAAGCCTCAGAATCCTTGTCTTGAAGGAGCAGCCCAGTTTAACTCTCTCCAGGATGAACTTGTTTTCTTAGCAGTCCATGGTACACTCAATACTCTTCTCCAGCACCACAGCGCAAAGGCATCAATTGTCCTCTCTCTAGTCATTGTCCAACTCTCTGACGCATAACAACCAATTGCAAAGACCATGGCCTGTATCAGGTGCACCTTAGTCTCCAGAGTGACACCATTGCTCTTCAGTATTTTGGAGAGGTTCCTAACAGCAGACTTTCCCATTGCAATATGTCTTTTAATTTCCTGGCTACTGGTGCCAAGAGTGTTAACTGTGGAGCCAAGCAAAATAAAGCTGTGAACAATCTCAATCTCTTCACCATCCATCCTGATGCTGCCAATTGGTCCAGTGGTGAGAATATTTGTCTTCTTGATATTGAGCCTCAATCCATATTGGAGGCTGCTGTCCTTGATCCTCTGCAGCAAGCACTTCAGGTCCTCCTCGGTTTCAGCAAGCAGGGTTGTGTCATCTGCATAACGCAGATTGTTGATGAATTATAGGTGATTGTTAATGAACTGGTAAAGAACTGTTTATAGATCTTTACTAGGTCCTGGAATGGCTGGACAACAGAGCTAACTGGAGACTGGTCAGGTCTCAGGAGGCTGAGCCAACCCAGTTTCTGGACCTGAGAAGCTGAGCAGAAGCATCTGCAAAGCATTGACCTCTCGCTGGCCTCTTGCCTCCTGCATCATCGTCACCCTGAGACAAGAGGAAAAACTAGAAACAATGGGATAAGCTTGGAGGCCAGCAGATTGTACTTACAGAGAACATTGCCAGAGAGAATTGGATCCACTCCTGTCCAGGGTAGAAGAGCCTTGAGCTCAGCTGTTCCCAGCTCTAATTGTAGACATCTGTTGTGTTGTTTGCTGACACTGGCTCTAGTGTGAAGACTTTGTGAGTAACCTGCATCTTGTTGGGGAAGACTTTGAGTGGGCATCACTACCTGGCAGGGAGCTATGGCTTTTGATGGCCTGGACTACAGTGACCCTGATAACTTGAGTTGGAAGTGGATTCACCCACTATGCAGTATTTAAGGAAGGACTCAATGTTGAAGCTGTGCAAGTGCAGGGCTGGCCCCTGTTATAAATTGAATTGGGTTCCTCCCCCATATGTGTTAGAGACCTCATAGAGCAAGGTTTAGGGCTCTTGTACATAGGGTCACTATGAGTTGCAAGCAACTCAATGGCACGGAACAACAACAGCAATACCTAATTTTATACCTTGCTTTAAGAAACACTTAGGGAAAAGGAATCTGTATGTTTTTGACATATAAAGCATTTCCTCTCTTTGATAGATTTTTCCCCCTGTGCTGTTGTAAAATTTTTGCTACTCTAACACTTAAAGCCGATTCAGTTTTCCAAATATATGCCCATTGTACTACTGAACAGCTTATATTTTTCAAAAATAAGCAAATATTTCAACTGAAAACATTCATAGAATGCCTATAAATATTAAACACATTTGTTCAGTCATAAATCCATTGTTGTTCAGTCAGTTCCTCATGGTGACCCTCTAGGAGAAAGCAGAGCTACCCTAAGCTATGGATGTTGGAGATCACACTTCTCTGTCTGAGTATTTGAGAATAGGATTGACTTTGCTGCCCCTGTGCAGGGTGTGAACTAAAGACGTCTGTGTTAGAAGGATCATCACAGATGAAGAGACAGCAAGTCTAAAGGAGAAAGATGGTTACTCTGTGAAGGTTGCCATGGCTACAGAAGGTGGTACAAGAGGTGTCTCCTAGAGCCTCACCCTAGAGCTGGGCCCTCAATTCAGATGACTAGCCTTTTTAACTACGAGATAATAAATTTGTGTTGGTCAAAGCCACCCACTTGTGATGCCATCTGTTACACTATCATTAGAATTGAGACAGTCTCTGAGGGTGTTTGTTGTTGTTAGGTGACTCATAGTGACCCTATGGACAAAAGATCTGAACCCTGCCCTATCTTCTGCCATCTTCATCACCTCTTACACACTTGAGCCTATTGCTGCAGTCTCTGTGTCAACCCATCTCATTGAAGGTCTTCCTGTCTTTCGTTGGGCTTCATATTTCTAAGAATGATGTTCCTCTCTGAGGAATAACCTCTCCTAACAACATGCACTTCTTATCTTTGCCTCCAAGGAGCCCTCTGGCTGCACTTTCTCTAAGATTTTATCTGTTCTTTTGGCAGTCCATGAGGTACTCAATATCTTCTCCAACACCACAGCTCAAAGGCACCAATTCTCCTGTCATTCTTGGTCTTTGACCATGTCTCAGATGCCTAGCTAGTGATTGGAAAGACCATGGCCCAAATCACATGCACCTTAGTCCTTATACCAACATCACTCTGAATGTGAGTGTCTTCTTAAAATGACCTGTAGGGGCCTCCCATCCCTCCCTTATTCCAAAGTCTGGCCAGCCCAGCCAGCTCCCACATTGCTCTCTCTTTTAAGAGAGAACAGAGGGGAAATCTCACCTCAGTGTGGTTAGTCTGCAGCCAGCGTAGAGGGCACCAAGGCTGCTGTTGATGAATAAGGGCTTGAGCTGAGGAAGAGGGAGAAGCAAAGAAAGTGCCTGTAAAGTTACTATTTTGAAACAATAAACAATTTTAATAAAACAGCAACTCGCCTTTCTCCTAAAATCTAATTATCAAAAGCAAGCCGGTGGGATAAATGCTTCTATCATCTCAGTTTTGCAGATGAGGAAGGAGAAGTAGCAAAAGTCAAGGTCATGAGTCCAGGGTCACATGTTGTTGCTGTTGTTATGTGCTGTCCAGTCGCTTGTGACTCATAGCGACCCTATGTACAACAGCCCTAAACTGCTCTGTCCTGTGCCAATTGCACTGTCTCTGACACTCCCATCCCAACTAACCCAGTCACTGAATCAATCCACCTTCTTTAAAATTTTTAATTTTTAAAAATTTTTCTACTAGTTTATTTACAAAATTAAAATAGAAATTTAAACAAATTCCCTCAAACTCCCCTCCCCATTACAAAATGAGCAAAAAACATGGAAAGAATTTTCACAGGGGAAGATATTCGAATGGCAAACAGACACATGAAGAAATGTTCCAAATCACTGGCATTAAGAGAGATGCAAATAAAAATCATAATGAGGTACCATCTCACTCCAGTAAGAGTGTCAGTTTAACAGGGCAGCAAGTAATAGATGTTGGAGAGGATGTGTCGAGAAAGGAACTCATAGACATTGTAGGTGGGACTGTAAAATGGTACAACCATTCTGGAAGGCAGTTTGGTGCTTCCTCAAAAAGCTGAACATAGAAATTCCATATGACCCAGCTATTCCATTACTTGGAATAGACCCTGAGAATATGAGGACTGAGGCATAAATTAAGATTTGTACACCAATGTTCATAGCAGCATTATTCACCATCAGAAGAACATGGAGACAGCCCAAATGTCCAACCACAGGGTCACATAGCTTTTAAGTGACAGTACCAATGTTTGGACTTGACACTGTCTGCTTTTGAGCCCATGGTTTTAAGCACTCTAGGTTCTCAGAAAGTATAGCAGGGAGGTGAAATTAAGGTAGAGGAGAAGTGAAAGACGCATGAAGGGGGAGAAACCAGAGGTACCCTGAAGGTGGTAGTGGTGGGAAGTCAGAGGTACAGTGAAGGTGGAGGGGAAGTTGGAGAAGGAGGATGGGGCGGGGTGTGTTCTCACCAGCCACTGTAGGATGGATTCCGTGGAGTTGAACTTGGCAGAGCCTGGTTGCATGTCCTCTGTGTAGTACAGGTTGGTGATGGTGAAGTTGAGGGTGAAGGGCATTAGGACAGGGCCAGGGGCTACATGGGAGTAGGGAAGAGTGAGAGAGGCTGTGTCCTACATCAGGCCTAGACAGGATGTGCACAAAGACCTTCTGGACGCAGGCCATCCCGATCAGTGTGTTTTGCTGAAACCAGGCAAGTTCTGTTCTACGTGATCCTGACTGCTCATATACCCGACGTGTCAAGTCTAGGCTAGACTGCTGTGAGAAGAGGTGACAAGGTGGGGAGTTGAGGAACCCAAACTTCCCCAGGGTGAGGCAGTTTGTGAAATGTCAGATCACCTTCTGAGATGAACTGACCTGCCAAGATCTGTTGGACAATCTGAGGAACATTTTGCAAAATAATATCCCTCCCACCTAAGTTCCAAAGTTTATTGGTAGTGTGGTGGTTTTTTGGGGGGGAAGGGGTCAGGACGTCCACTTCCTAAATGCCTCTGGAATCTCTATAAACTTCGATAAATATTGATAGTTGTAGAGGAGCTTCAGGCCTTTTGTTCGTAGCGTCGTTAGGAGTCATGCTCCACTCGAAGGCAATCAACAACAACATATTTCTGTTACATCAGACGTGACCACGAACAAGAAGGAATTATCTAAGAAAGAAGTCTCCACTCTCGAAAACTTGAGGGAGGGTTGCTGGGGAGTTTTGACAGTGTCCACTTCCATTCTTAAGGGTTGAACCTGGTGGGAGAGGCTCACTGGGGTTATCAGTTTTTCTGAAGAATACTCACTGCTGGCGGTCATGGTGAAGTTCTGGTGGGTGTAACCTGTGGAGAAAGGATGAGGAAGGTGAAGGAGGAGAACAAGGGAGAGATAGAGGGGCCCTACTAAGTTTTGGTTTTATGTTATTATTTTTTTTAGATGACATTCCCTCACCATTAATATACAGACTGTCACTGTCCAGGGTGTAGGGGCCCAGGTGGGCGACCCCATGGGTCAGCTTGCTCAGTTCCCAGTACAGCTCCTCTCTGTCCAGACTGTAGCCCTCGGAGACAGTGTAGTAGGCACAGAAGGTGTCCACTCCAGTGGCTATTCCATCCTTCTTGGGCCTGGAGAGGGACGAGGAAAAGATGACAATGAAAGGAATTCCCCAGGAGGGTCCTGAGACCACAAGGACAGACGAGGGTCCAAGGAAAAGCCTGATAACTGGAGAGAAGCCAGACTTAGAGTCACAGAGAGAACCTCAGCTTAGGAATGCAAGCATAATCAGGAATCACAGCTGGGGGCTTTTGATTACATTCAAAGCCTGAAGCCTGTATCCTCATGGAGTTGTGATAACAGAGCTCACACATGCTCACACGGGAAGCACTAGAAGAGCTGGGATTTGGCATTCAAGCAAGTAGAGAAGGGACCCCTGGCGAGATTCCTTGGGGATAGAATTTAACATCTGAAAGAAATGCTCCTATTGGTCAGAGATCAGGGTGCAGGAGATCAGTGGGTAATGAAGGAGGGGCTGGCTGTCCTGCTGATGGGCTTTGCAGAACCCGTGGGTTAGAAGGAGCACCAGGCGACTCCTGGGTGCTGGAGCCAGTGCTCTCTGAATCCCACCTCTGCTGTGACTGTGTGTTGTTGTTGTTGTTATGTGCCGTCAAGTTGCTTGCTAATCATAGCGACCCTATGTACAACAGCCCTAAACTCTGCTCTGTTCTGTGCCAATCGCACTGTCTCCGACACTCCCATCCCGATTATCCTAGTCACTGAATCAATCCACCTCATAGAGGGTCTTCCCCTCCTGTGCTGTCCGTCCACCCTACCAAGCATGATGTCCCTCTCCAAGGACTGGTCTCTCCTTACAACATGTGCAAATATGTTAGACGGAGCCTCAGAATCCTTGCCTCCAAGGAGCCGCCCCGTTTAACCCTCTCCAGGATGAATCTGTTTGTTTTCCTAGCAGTCCATGGTATTCTCAATACTCTTCTCCAGCACCACAGCTCAAAGGCATCAATTCTCCTTCTGTCCTCCCTAGTCATTGTCCAACTCTCTGATGCATAATAAGTGATTACAAAGACCATGGCCTGTATCAGACGCACCTTAGTCTCCAGAGAGACACCATTGCTCTTCAAGAACTTTGGAGAGGTCCCTAACAGCAGACTTTCCCATGGCAATACGCCTTTTAATTTCCTGGCTACTGGTGGCGAAGAGTGTTGACTGTGGAGCTAAGCAGACTAAAGCTGTGAACAATCTCTATCCCTTTTTACCAAGTCAGAGCCCTTGGGCCTGGTGTACTTGGGAAAGCTGGGGCCAGTTAGGCTACTGTGAAGTCTCACCTGAGTGAGGTCAGCCTGCAGCCAGCGTAGAAGGGTCCAACACTGGTATTCTTGAACAAGGTCCCAAGCTGTCAAAGGAAAGCAAAGTGAGTAGGCGGGCTGTGAAGGTAGAGGTGAGACAGTGGTCAGGTGACTGGGCATTGGGCCAGCATCAGTGTACCTAGCAGGACTGAGGTGGGGGAGGTCAGCACGAATTGGCAGGCTCGGCATCACTGGTCAGGATAAAGGACAAGGAAGAGGGCTATCCGTGGATAGACCCTTGTTGTATGAGACCACCATCCACACATATGGTAGGATGGAACTGGCAGGGCTGTGCCGGCAGGTAGGGAGGGATAGCATCTCTGGGCAGGGTACATCCAGATGAGGGGGTTCTCACCAGTCGCTGTAGGCTCCTCTCTGTGGTGTTGTATTTCAAGGAACCTGGGGAATGCATATCTTCCTCATAGGGGAGGCTGGTTATGGTGAAGTTGAGGGTGAATGACACCAGGGCAGGGCCAATGGCTGCAGGGACAGTGCGAGAGACACCCTCACTGAGTTTACGCCATGTCCCAGGACCCTGAACTTGAAACATCTCACATTGTGTCTTCAGCTCCACAAGGGTGAGTTTCAACAGGGAGGAGACCTCAGCCCAGATGCCAGCCTTAACTGAGGTGCACTGAGGATGCATGTGAAACAGTGTGCAATGGGGCTAAAGCAGAAAGCGGACAATTTCTAATCTTTATCATTAAGATTCCAGGGAGACAGAGCCCCTTGCCTGGGTTTCTTTTTTTCCCAAATTGGCTCTCATTAATCCAGTACATACAGTTGTTGTTAGGTGCTGTTGTGTCCCCTGAGAACCATAGTTTGTACAGCAGCTCTAAACCCTGCCTTTTTTTCAGAAGCAGTTCATTGCAAGGGAGGAGATTGTCCATCCTTCTGCAGTGGAGAAGCTGGTGCCCTCAAGCACAGCTTCTTGGCACTAGGCCACCAGAGCTCCTGTTTGGCAGTTGTGTTGTTGTTATGTGCCGTGAAGTCACTTGTGACTTACAGAGACCCTACGTACAAGAGCTCTGAAGCCTGCCCTGTCCTGAGACAGTCTCACTGACTCCGACACACTTACCCCCATTGCCTTAGTTACTGTATCAATCCATCTCATCCAGGGTCTTCCTCTCATGCGCTGTCCCTCCACCCTTCCAAGCATGATGTCCTCCTCCAAGGACCAGTCTATCCCGGCCACATGTCCAAAGTACGTGAGATGGAGCTTCAAAATCCTAGCCTTCAAGAAGAAACGTGGTTTCACCCTCTCCAAGACAGACTTATTTGTTTTCTTGGTGGTCCATGGTATGTTCAAGACTCTCCTCTGGCACCACAATTCAAAGGCATTAATTCTTCTTCTGCTATCATTAGTCATCGTCCAGCTCTTTGACGCATAAGTAATTGTGAAGACCATGGCTTGGATTAGGCTCACCTTAGTCTCTAGACTGACATCGTTGCTTTTCAGTACTCTGGAGTGGTCCCTGACAGCAGATTTCCCCAATGCAATTCATCAGGAATAGGTAAGTCTTGAACACTAATGAATGAACTACATACGGTTGATGCTCAAATTGGATTAGTCCAAATTGGGCACCTACTTTACATACTTGGGTTTGTTTGTTTAGCTTAAAGGGATATTTACCTTAAATTTTTGTGTGTCAAACTCGGTTCTAACTTGAATTTCCATTTACTTAACCCTTGAGACAAATCCTTTGGATGGAGACAGTATTATTTTCCCTTTCTTACATATTCGGTAAGAGCTCTAGTGGCCTAATGGTAGGAAGCTGTGTTTCAATTCCAAAGACACAAGGTTCAAATTCACCAGTTGCAATTCACATCCACCAGTTGCTTCGCTGGAGAGGGATCGGGAATCTCTTCCCATGCTATTCACTGCCTCTGAAATCTCACTGGAGAGTCAGCTATGAGTTGATTCCGACTCAGAGGGCACATAACAACAACAATTTAGTAAGTAGACAAAGAGAGCTTCAATAATAATAATAGCCTCATATAAATCCATGATTAAGTGACATGATTGGATTTGAACCCAGGTTTTGTGGACCCATAGTCTGTGCTCCTAATCCTTCCCCCAAGCACAGGTCTGACCAACGCTGCGTGCTGTGGCCTGATTGCTCTAATACCCTCAGGAAGTCCTGTCTAATAAATAACCAAAGAGATGCATAAGGCAGTTGTCCAGTGAGTAATGTGGAAAGTGACATTGGGCCACTGGGAGATTAGAAAGCAGATCTGGTCCTCAGACAAACCTGATTCAAAAGGGCATTTCCTGGGGGGACATGTAGCTCACAGGACTCCCCCTTTTCCCTGAGAATTAAAAAGAAGCATCAAAAAGAAACCCCTCACACACTTCTATGTCCTCAGAGTAATCACTTTGTCCTAACACCTTGGTGACTGTCGTGCAAATGTAGGTAATAGATGTGATTGTAGGCATGATAGTGTGTATACGATGAATTCTCATCTTCTTTGCCAGGAGCCTATAGGAGGCCAGGGCCCTTGGCATCCTCTATATCGCTGCGTGGCTTTTGTTATTAACTTCTGCCGAGAGAGTCCCAGCGTTGGTGACTGACTCCTTAATATAAACAGAATGAAATTCTGCCTTGGCCCACTTCATCTTCATGGTTGGTTGTGGAAATGGAGCATTGTTTTTGGTAGTTTGTTGTTGTTGTTGTTGTTTTGGTTTTTTAAAAGTACATTACTGAGGGGAGCTCTGGTGGCCTAGTGGCAAGGAGCTGCAACTACAATCCCAGAGGTGCATGGTTCGAATCCACCAGATGCTCTGCCGGGGAAGGAGGGACAATCTCCTCCTGTACCAGTCAGATCTGATTTGACGGTACACGCACACAAAAATAATAATAATAATAATAATAATAATAAAAAGTACATTACTGGGTGTTTCTTCTTCATTAATCCTAGTCTGGAAGTCCAGCCTCTTAGCAACATGCAAACCCCCACTGACAGAGAGGTGGGGGCATGAAAAGGGTGCATCATGGTTAAGGAGTCAAGCCAGGTTTCTTGTGTGGAAGTTGGGGGTTCTACCACTGAATCCTCCCACTGTCTGTCTCACTGATGCCTTTTTTACACGGTGATGTTTATAAACCTTGGATGAGTTAAGGAAGGGTCCTGGCTCCCCTGTGATGCCTCCCACCATCAAGTACATGAGAATCGCAGAGAGGAAGCTCTTACCTGTGGAGACAGGAACCAGAGCTGCAGTGGTTGCTGGGTAGACGGTAGAGGCAGTAGCAGCTGAGAAGAAAAGAGTGAGGTAAATGTGGAGAAAAGGTCCCCCCCAGCCGGACATGGTTATGTCCTGGGACTTGTATCATTTTTCCTGTGCTGGGTTTGTCTTTGTTGGGCCACTGGGGAGGGAAGACATGTGAAGTCCTGGCCTTTTCCCTCCTAGGGGCTGGGGGAAGGGGAAGGTAGCATTACCAGGGTGCAATGACTCACTGCTGAGGGTGGAGGGCAGGGCCTGATGGGTGTAACCTGCGGAGAGAGGCAGAGAGGGGGCACAGCTGTAAGAATGAGGGGATGTGAGAGAAAGAGGGGGCATCCAGGGTTTCCAAGAAAATCCATTTAAGTAACAGTTAGGGAGTGCAGTCCTCAAAGTGCCAACCTTGTTGACAAACCCCAGAACCAAAACCTACAGCTCAAGGGAGGATTTCTGTATCAGCGCATCTGATTGGCTTATGTATCTGCCAATCCACCCCTCCACTTCTCCTGACTTTCCAATTCCTCGTTTCACAACTCCCTCATTTAGAAAAAAAAACCAGAACTGGCTTTGACAAGCACTGTGGCAATTGGACAATTAAAACAGACATTCAGAGGGCGGAGGAAGAAGAACAAACTGGGGAGGAGGGTAGAGAGAAGGGTACAGCAATGAAGGAATGAAAACCCAAAATCCCTGTAAATGTTCATTAATACTAATAAAATTTAATAATTTTTTTAAAAAATTAGAAAATTCCAGAAAACCACATAATAAAAATTTTATTTCCACTTAAAAAAAAAACAAAAAAAAAAAACACTGCAACTCATGGTGATCTTCTGTGTGCAAGCGTGGAATTGCACAATATAAGTTTTCTGTGGCTGACTTTTTGAGAAGTAGATCACCAGGCCTTTCTCCTGAGATACCTCTGGGTGGACTCAAACAATTGACTTTCCAGTTAGCAGCTGAATGTGTGACCATGTGCACTACCCAGAACTGAACTTCCTCATGAAGAAAGGTGCAAAGGTCCAAGTGAGTCTGGGAGGTGCTTAAAGTTTCCCTCAAGGGAAGACGCCAGTGCAGAGCACAGTGGCTGTGCTGAGGCCCACAGGGAGGCCGGAGGAGCCCTGGCCGCAGCCCCAGTGCTCACCATTGACATAAAGGCTGTCCTCGTCCAGGGTGTAGGGACCCAGCTGGGTGACACCTTGCGTCCCACGACTCAGCTCCCAGTACAGCAGCTCTCTGTCCAGCCCAGTGCTTGTTGGGTCTGAGTGGTAGGTGCAGACAGCGTCCACTTCAGTGCCGGCTCTACCCTTCTCAGGCCTGGGGTGTGAGGACATATGCAGGACTGATGATGAGGGTGGGGTTTAAGAATGAGAGAGAGAACTGTTTAAAAGGGACATGTGATTAGGTATTATTGTCATGGCAGGAGTCCAGAACGAAGGCTGCACAGTGGAGTGGGCCTGGGGGGGACGGCTTGTATAACAATGACAGATTTTTTTAATTTTTTTTTACTTTTCAACAAGAAGAGCGAACTGGGGGAGTGGGGTGGGGAGGGAAAAAAGTGCAACAATGGGAATTCAAAGTCTGTAAATTTTCATTAAAATTAGTAATAATAAAAATATTAAAAAGAATGGTAGTGCCTGAGAAAAGCCACAGAGCTGAAATAAATTTTTCTGGAAGTCTTGCTGCTGGTGTTTCAACCACCAGTGAGGTTTTTCAAGGTGAGGTTTCAGTGGTGCGTTCAGGTTAACATAGATCGAGAAGGAAATGTGTCTGCCTGCTCTGACAGTGAGACAAAGAAAACCTTTGCAGCTTATAACAAAACATCATCTTACGGACTGACTTACGTCAAGTCCATCACCAAAAGAGGCCACTCCCTAGAGGAGGACGTCATGTTTGATGCAGAGTAAAGCCAGACAGGTGAGGAAGACCCTTAATCATATGGATAGTACAATAACCTCGGTTACTGACAAGAGAATGTTGGTTGTTATGAGGAGATGCAAGGCTGGGGACAATCTTACTCTGCTGTCTGTAAGGTTTTCCTGATCTGGATTCAAGTCAGATGAGACTAACAATCACCACTGAAGGTAATGTGAGGGTTTAAGGGAATAGATACCAAAAGGTATCGACATGACTAGTGTTGGAGAAGGAGAGCTGAGATTGGAGTTGAGACAGTATTTGTTTAATGGCCATTTGCGAGCCTCCTGACATGACACGATCAGGAGGGACTCAAGAACAGGCGAGGACAGTCCTGAGAGTTTGCCCATGACTTAGGTTTGTCACCCTTGAATATGATAAATGAGGAAAGAATATGCATGCCACAGGAACTGTTAGTTTTGCTTGATATTTTCTTCAGACAGAAAGTTGTTTTTTTGGGTTTTTTTGTGTTTTTGTTTTTTTAAATGAGCTAACTCCTGGGGCATGTTCTCTCCCTTGGACAGGACTAGAAGAGAGGCAGAATGTACATAGAACAGACAAGATGTGCACAAAGAAGAGGATGTGACATTGCTATCCCCAAGTGCCCAGGTGTGAAGCAAGCACTGGATGGGCAGGAGGTGCAGCATCTCTGAGGGGCAGGCAGGTGTGAAGAGCTTCTCCTGGGCATCTCACCTGAGCGAGGTGATGGTGCAGCTGGAGTAGAGGGTGCCAATGATGGTGTTCTCAAACAACGGGCCAAGCTAGAGAAGGACAAAGAGGTGAGCAGAAGGGGCTGAGATCAAGACGGGGTGAAAGCAGGCAGGCAGCAGGCGTTCAGGGCTCTTACAATGCGCTGTAGGACCTTCTCAGTGTTGTTGAACTTGGCAGATCCAGGATACCCCATGCTCTCAGAGTAGCGTAGGTTGGTGATGGTGAAGTTCAAGGTGAAGAACAGCAGGGTTGGACTTGTGGCTGCAATGGGGGAGGCAGATAAGAAATCCTGTCTTGGGCTCTGAGTTCATCCTCCTTTGTCAAGGTCTTGCCCAGCTTTCTCCAGCCCTCCTACATGAGTGTCTGATTCTCTCCACCAGATGGCGCCGCTGAGCTGTATTTTCTACCCTATGGAAGTTCATGCAAGTGATAACAATTTGAATCTCTGCAACTGGATTTTCTCCCAGAAGATCTGAGACACTACCATGAGATAATGGAGTGTCCTACTGGCCCAGTGGTCAAGTCCTAGGCACAGCCCAGGAGGAAGATGTAGCGGCACCAGTGTCTGTAAGACCAAAGCCTTGGAACCAATATGAGGAAGTTCTAATCTGTCTCGTAGACTTATTCTGAGTCAGAAGAACAGCAAAGGTTGGAGGTGATTTGGAGACAGAGGGAACTATAGGCTTCAGATACAAGCTAGAATAATAAGTGTTTGCATCTGAAACCTATAGTTTCCTCTGTCTTCAAATCACCTCTAACCTTTGTTGTTCTTCCATGCCATGAGTCACTTCTGACTCAAGAAACTCCCCGAACCTAGCAACACCATTTCAAAGAGCCCCCTCTGTCACTCCTCCTGCTTCTTTGGTTAGAACCCAACAGAAATTGCAGGGAACTTCTTCAGCAAGTCAGATTCCTACCCGTGGAATTGGAGGTGGGCTTGGCATCCCTGCAGAAGTCAAACCCACTGCATCAGCTGGGGAGAAGGACACCCAGAGTGTTTGCAGTGGACCCTAGCATCCTAGTGGTTGCAGGGAGGAGATGCCACATATGTGGCTTGTCAGGGTTTGACAGCTGCTTGCTGAAGGGAGCTGTCAGTGCGGTGGATTGAAGGGGGATTGGAGGCAGTGTTCCCATGACCTCTTCCATTCTGAGGGGCAGAGCTTCGTGTGCAGGCAGCCCCAGGGGTTATCAGATGCTCTAAAGCCTCAGAATACTCACTGTTAGGAGTGGTGGCTGAGGTCTTGTGGGTGTAACCTGTAGAGGGACAGGGAGAAAGAGTGAGGAAGGTGAGAGGGAAGGGCAGAGAAAGAGGGTGTAGGGCCTGCCATGCTTCAGAAAAGGCGGCACCCCCTCACCATTGACATAGAGACTGTCCTTGTCCAGGGTGTAAGGACCCAGGCGCGTGGCCCCATCAGTCAGCTTGCTCAGCTCCCAGTATAGCTCTTCTCGGTCTATCTCGTGGCCCTCGGGGTCAGCGTGGTGAGTGCAGATGGCGTCCACTCCAGTGGCTGCCCCGTCCTTCTCGGGTCTGGGGTCGGGGAGGACAAGGAGATGAACAAAGGGTATCTGCACCAGGGCTCCTGAGATCAGGAAGGCAGGACAGGGAGGGGCTGGAGGGAAGGAGGAGAGAAAGATGACCAGCCAGACTTGGATCCATATGCAAGGACTGAAGATGAGGGTGCGTTTCAAGAACGATGCACGTAAGAGAAAAGCCGTAAACTTGAATCAACATTCCTCCGGCGGTAAAAGGATTCTGGAGTTTTGCCACCGATTCTAACCACCAGCAGGGTTGTTCTTGGTGGACATCTTTAAATGGAAATTTCGGAGTAAAGCAGACTGGGAAGAAAGGTGTGCCATCTACTTAAAATAAAAACAAACCCAAATCCCACTTCTGTTGAAATAGGACTTCTGTTTCCACTCCATTTTCAAGAATGTAAGTGTTTGTAGACAGAGACTGCCTGCTCTTTGAATGTGCTATGGATTCCAGCTGGCAATCTTCTGATTACTCATGCAATACAGAAACCGAACACTGTCTCACTCCTTTCCTAAGGTATTCATCAAAGAAATCAGTCTTTAGTGGAGGGCATGCATCATGGAGGCTAGGATTTTGAAGCTCCATCTCACATACTTTGGGCACTTGGCCAGGAGGCACCTGTTCTAGAAGAAGGTCATCATGCTCAGAAGAGTGGAGGGACAGAGTAGGAGAGGAGGACCCCGGATGAGATAGATTGACACAGTCAATGGGGTCATGGGGGTAGGTATGCCGGAGAGACTGGCTCAGGCTAGAGAAGGCTTCAGAGCTACTGTACATAGGGTTACTATGAGTCACAGGCCATTCGATGGCACATAATAACAATGACAAGTTGGAGGACATAATGTTTGACGCAGCAGAGGGTCATAAAAGGAGGGGGAGACCCTCAGCGGGATGGATCGGTGCAACCACCACAGTGATTGACAAGAGCATCCTGTGAGTTGCTAGGATAATAGGGCATCATGACAACTGTGCAACATTTTGTCAGTTTTCTTAATTCAAGTCAACAGTAGCCTAACAACCACCAAAGACAGTTGGGGCTAAGGAAAGGAATAGTGGGTAAAAAAAAGTCTAGGATTTGTTCATGTTTGAGAGATGAGAAGGTGAATGAGGTTGGAAGAGGCACTGTATTTGTTGATTATCCAGGAACCTGCTTCCTGCCACCACACTATCAGAGTACGCTAAGAGAGAAAAACCAAGCTCACAATCTTGCCCTGGGAACTCTATGAAATGATGATAGTTATAGAAAAGCTTCAGGCCTTTTGTTCACAGGGTTGTTGCTGTGAGTTGTGCTCCACTCCATGGCATTGAACAACAATTACGATGAAGCGTGTTAAATGTGGGTGAAGGAACATTTATGGCAAAAAGACTGTTTATGTCAGTTTCATATTTTTTTGGACAGGACCAGAAGGCGGGCAGAATGGAATCCTGAATGGGCAGGAATAGGTGTAGGAGGTAATAGGGCATCTCGATACACAGATGGCCAGGTGTGGAGCAAACAGTACGAACAGGAGGAAAGGACTTTAGAAGGGATGCAGATCTGAATATCCTCTCCTGGGCATCTCACCTGAGCGAGGTCACTCTGCAACTGGAGTCAAGGGTGCCGACGCTGGTGTTCTTGAACAAAGGACCAAGCTAGATAAAGAGAAGGAGGTGAGGAGGAGGGCTGGGGTCATATAGGTGCAAGGGGAGGCGTGCAGTAGGCATTTGGTGCTCTTACAATGCGCTGTAGGACCTTCTCAGTGTTGTTGAACTTGGCAGATCCCAGATGGCCCATGTTCTCGGAGTAGCGCAGGTTGGTGATGGTGAAGTTCAAGGTGAAGAACAGCAGGGTTGGACTGGTGGCTGCAACAGGGAAGGCACATAAGGAATCCTGTGTGGAACTCAGATGCTCCTCAGTGGATGATCCCTTGCCTTCCCGTATGTAGTATCTGATTCTCTCCACCAGAGGGCTTCAGTCAGCTGTACTCTCCACCCTGAGGACGTCCAGGTAAATGGTAACCAGCAACTTCAATTCCTTTAACTGGATCTTCTCCCATAAGCCCAGGTTTGGGAGGCAGGGCAGTAAGATAAAGGAGCCCTAGTGGCACAGAGATTAAACCTTTGACTGCTGACCAGATATCAGCAGTTCAAACCCACTAGCTGCTCCCAAGCTCTCCAGGGGGTGGGGGGAGGGGGGGGGAGGAATGTCCCAGTTGGCTTTCATAAATATGACAGCTTTGGAAAGGCTATGGGACAGTTCTATGCTGACTTATAGGGTGATCCTGAGCTTGAATTGATTTAATACTATATGATAATAACAAAGATGGGGGGGGGAGATTTGAAGACAGGGGTCAACTCTAGGTTTCAGATGCAAGTTAGAAGGAAGAATGCTAGGATTGGGACCGGTATTCAAGAAACGCCATGGACTAAGGAACATCTTGGAAGATGTTCTGAGTGACCTTTGGATATATCACAAGAGCAATGGCAGGGAGTATCATCGTCAAGGCAGATTCCTACCTGTGGAACTTGAAAAGGATATCGACATCCCTGTAGAAACTACGTTTACTGTAGAAGCTGGGGAGGAAATGATCCAGTGTGCTTCAGGTGAGTACCCCATTATTTAAGAGGTGCCACGGAGGGGACGCTTTTTTTCAATATACTTGTAATTTTTAAAATTAATTTTAATGAAAGTTTATAGAAACTTAGGGTTTCCAGTCATTTATTGTTGCACTTTTGTCCCTACTCATCCCTCCCCTCCTAATCACTCTTCTCTTTGAAAAGAAAAAGAAAAACTCTTTCATTGTTATGTAATCCCTCCCCCCAAGTCCACTCCACTATGCAGTCTTCACTCTGGACTTCTGTAATGACAAGAATACCCATTGATATGTCCCTTTTAAACAGTTCTCTCCCTCATCTGTTTCAATGCAATATAGATCATTCCTCTTCGGAGGGGATGCTTTTAAAAATTAATACGAGTCACTGTTCAGAGAAGCTGGATGGGATGGTTGGAGAAGTGGAGACTGTGTTTTCATGGCTTCTTCCATGCCTAAAGACTGACCTTACTATAGGGGTTATTGAGTTTTCAGAAGATTAGAATACTCACGGCTGGGAGTCACGGTCAAGGTCTGATGGGTGTATCCTGTGAAGAAAGCAAGAGAAAGGATGAGGAAGGTGAGAGAGAGGAGGACACAGGGGCAGAGAGGGAGGAAGTGGGGCTACTGGGCTTCCAAAAAAAAGATGACTCTCCCTCACCATTGACATAGAGACTGTCACTGTCCAGGGTGTAGGGGCCGAGCCGAGTGACTCCGTGTGTCAGCCTGCTCAGTTCCCAGTACAGCTGCTCTCGGTCCAGCCTGTAGCCCTCGGTGTCAGGATGGTAGTAGCAGATGGAGTCCACTCCGGTGGCTGCCCCATCCTTCTCAGGCCTGGAGAGGGAGGGTGAGGAGATGACAATAAGTGGAGTTGCTCAGGAGAGGTCCTGAGGTTGTAGCAGACAGGACAGGTAGAGATCAGAGGAAAGCGGAACCTGTTAGAGATATGAGAAATCGGACTTAGATTCTCTGAAGGCACAACGGCCCATGTGCAGAGTCATGGGGTAGAAACTTTTATTAAACGGGAAGACTGAAACTTGCATTCTCATGACAGGGTACCTGAGCAGCTGAGAGAGAGAGAGAGAGAGAGAGAGAGAG